AAGGCTCACGGCGACGCTTCTGACTATGGACGTAAAAGGGGCGTTCGACTCCGTCCTTCGGAACCGGCTCGTCATTAGACTGCGTCAGCAGGGATGGCCACACGGCTTGATTAGACTCATCTTCAGCTTCTGCTGCAACCGCATCGCCAGAGTCCGACTGGAAGAAAGCACGACGGAATACTTTCCTCTGTCATGCGGGCTGCCTCAGGGGTCGCCACTATCTCCCATCGTCTTTCTGCTCTACATCGCGGAGATCCTTGAAGACGACCCGGACGCGCGATTCGGGTACGCGGACGACATCGCCACTCTGGCCATCAGCCCCTCCCTGGAGAGCAACGTCGCAATACTCAACCGAAGCGCAGCCGGCATTCTCAGATGGGGCTCGGAGAACAAGGTCTCCTTCGACCCGAGCAAGTGCGAGGTCATCCACTTTACTAGGAAGCACAGCCAGCCAGCGGAGCTGCCAGAGGTCAGGGCGGGGGATTTGGTGGTCAAGGCCTCGACAAATCCTGTACGCTGGCTGGGTGTCTGGTTCGACAAGAGACTGTCCTTCCGGCACCACGTCGACACAAGAGTAGCTGCGGCAAAGAAGGCAGCTCAACACCTGAGGCAGCTTACAAACACAAAGAGAGGACTGCCAGCGGCCGCCGTGCGAAAAGCCGTCGTCTCCTACGTACTGCCGATCGCGCTCTTCGGCGCCGAAACATGGTACGCAGGTATCACGAAGCCGGCTTCGAGACGCCAAGCGGAGACAGACACGAGTCCGCCTTTCCAAGGAAGACCCGTCAACACAGGCCAGAAGGGGCTCGTGCAGAAGATCGACAGCGTCATTACAGCGGCAGCAAGGATCGTTCTACCTGTCTGGAGGACAACGCCAACCAGTAGCCTCCTCCGAGACGCCGGCTTACCGTCAGCCAAAGTCGCCTTAGAAGGCGTCCGTTTACGGGCCGCAGTCCGACTACAGAGGATTGATCGCCGACACCCGCTAGTCGCGCGGCTCTCCCAGCAGGGACAGCAACAGACGAGACTACAACGGACGGCTGAACTTCTGCCAAGATGCGGAAGACCAACGTTCCTCCAATCACAGTACCTGCCAAGCTCACAGGATCAGATAGTAGTTCAATGCAAAGAAGAGGCTGCGAAAGCTTTCGAGCGCTGGCTAAAGACAGTACCGGAAAGCCATATGATCGTCTTCTCGGACGGCTCCAGGGCGACGAACGGAGCCGTGGGGTACGGCTTCGTCATCTACCGAGACTCCAAACGCATAGCGCAAGGGTGCGGCCGACTCGGACTAGCAGAAGTGTTCGACGCCGAGGTCGAAGGGGCGCGAACCGGCCTCAGAAGGGCTCTGCTCACCAATCGCGGTCATCCAATCCACATATGTATCGACAACACCAGCGTTATACAAGGCATCCGCGGCAAGGCGCCGGACTCGTCACAAGACGCGTTCCTCGAAATCCAAGAAGCGGCCAGGATATTTGATATACGGACGCACTGGTCCCCGGGACACCAGGGCATCGAAGGAAACGAGGCCGCGGACCGGCTGGCCAAAGAAGGAACGACACTGCCGGCGCGGATGGGTCAAATGGCAACACTAGCGGGCATCAAGCGGCTTGCAAGGGAAAAATTACAAAGCCAGCACAGGAGATGGTGGTATAAAGAGCGAAGGCCGCGGTACGCGGACTTGGGGCTTGAGGCAGCTCTGTCCAGCCCTCCTGAACTGGCCTTGCCGCGGGCTACGTTACATCACCTGCTGGCGGCACGATCGGGTCACGGGGACTTCGAGCAATATCACCGACGTTTCAACCACGACGACGCTCTAATGATGTGCTCTTGTGGAGAGGCGAAAGACGTGGACCACCTGGTCTACTGTCGACTAACGCTGGCGAGGAGGCAACGGTGGCCGACCCTCCACTCTCGCAGTATGCCCGAGCCCATAGGTCCTATGGGATCTCTCGAGGCCTACTTCAAGAGATTAATCACCGACCCACGAGGCTTCGAGGCCTTTCTCCGCGTGACGGACTTCTTCCAGAAGATCTGTCTGCGGTAGCAGCATCCACACCTAGGTAGATGTGAGTGCGGACTACAAAGAACCTCCCGATTCCAAGGGACGATTTGGGAAAGAATGAAACTGGGGCACCAGCGGGAACCGGGGACAGACAGAACGCGTAGTGGCCACAAGGCATGATTTGGAGGACGATGTAAAGAGACGACGTACTGTAGAGTAGGTAGCCTTGGCTCACGGCCCTCCACGCCATATACCCTTCGGGAGGTCTGCGGTAAGGGCTCTAGCCCGGCCGCCACGGCGTTAAATACAACAACAACAACAACAACATCGATAGCCATATTGAGTGGCCGGAAGGAGCGAGTACAAACGACAGACCCGATTAGGGTGCAAACATAGCTCCACTCTGATTCCGTCGGTCAACTTCAAGTCGCTATTTCAAATAAAATTACTTGTCTCTGTTTTCTCTTCCAGAAAGAAAAAGAACAAAAAGAAATAAAAAACAAAAAACAGCAAAAAACGTAGATCTAAATAAAAAACTATCGCATTATTATTATTTCAATTGTATTGTTATGAAGCTAGCGCTCTGTTCGATTTCTCAACATACATTTGGAAGCGTCCGCGAGTATGATTCAACCTAGATTAGAAACCTCGCCTTTTTTTTACTTTTTACATAGAGGGCTTTTCTAAATAGTTCAATTCCTTCTTGCTATTACCTTGAGGTTTACGTCGGATTAATCTCAGAGCTTATAGTGGTAATGTCCTTGGTATATTGAGTAGCTAAAAATCTTCATGTTACTACTCGTACTGGAGAAAGGGCTGGGTTTATCTACGTAATAATTTCCAGACACGTCCGTTTGAAATAACCTATAATAAATGCCGTCAAAGCTCCACCTCTACTTTGAGATCCGCAGGCTTTTCTTCTTCACTTTTAATCTTTTCATGGCGGAAAGCCTTTCTCAACTCACACTTTCCAACACTCTTACCACCAGCTTTGCACTCGCTGCATACCTTGCCGTGCTTGACAAGCAGGATGTGAAGCCCATACTTGTCTTCGTCTGGGATTCTAACATCAAGATGTGCGTGGGTTTCGTCTCGCGAGGCGCTTTTTGGCCGCCACCCCATAAGACCGGTGATTCTCCACACATGGGTATCCACTGCGAACGACTCCCTCTGCAGACAAAAGAGGAGAACACAACTGGCAGTCTTGGGGCCGACTCCCTGAAAGCTAATGAGCTCCTGCATAGCGTCTTCGTTGCTGACATTGAAGAGATGATCGAGAGAATACGAGCCGTACTTCTCCTTGACCTGATTGAGGATGCCGACAATGACCTTGCTCTTGACTTGGCTCAGCCCACCGCACTTGATGGCTTCCTGCAGCTTGGGAATCCCGCCCTCGACAATCTTCTCCCACTCGTCGCTGCCGCCGTAGACGTCGTCCATGCTCCTCTTGGCGCGGGTGGAGTTTGTGTCACTCGTGTTCTGGCTCAGGATGGTTCTGACAAGCGCATCAAGGACCGACGGCGAGTCTCCGCAGCCGGCGCGGGTTGAAGATGCCTTGACTTCTGCGGGGCGTTCCCGTTTTCCGTGCAGTTCAGCCAGAATGCGGTGGGCCAGTTTGCACTCGTCAGGTGTCGGGTGCGGAAAGTCGGGGAAGGGTGACTTGTCAGCGTATTGAGAGTAGGCCTTGAGCTTTTTGGACTTTAAGTCTGCCGGAGACTTTTGGATCTTTGCTTTTCTGTCTGGGCTTTCAGATTTGATGTCCTCCTTCTTAAGTGGTGTTAAGGGGGGGACATTGGCGAAATCCGGGGACGCCGTATGGTCCGCATCCTCCGTCTTGACCTTCTTGGCCGGTGTTGAGCTTGCAGCTTTGCTTGTTGTCCGTTTCCTCTTCTCTGGTTGAGGCGTATTCTCCTTGTCCGACGAAGTCTGCTTCGCAGATCGGCCCTTTTTTGTTGCGCCATTGGCAGCACTCGGGGTCTCTGTTGGCTTCGTGGCAGTCGAGGCCAAACGAGCACTCGAACGGGTTGCTCTTGCCATGGCAATGAAGACAGATCGCATGCAATGATGTGGTGTTAGACTGATGAGAGGTAGTTCGATATGAGTTATACGCAAAGCAAAGTAATCAAGAGGAGTGGATAAGGCAGGCCGAAAGGTGAGTTCAACGCTGCATGGCCGCTGTCGCTGATCCAGGGGATGAGCAATGACGATGCAGAAAAGCACGTTGCCGACGCCATCACCGCGCCCTCAGTGGTGATGTCAACGAACTGGACCCACCGGGGCCCACCACCCGCCTCGACAATCAATGAAAACGCGACTGTGCCTGGACCGTGCCTGATCTATGCGCACAGACCATGCGATCATGGCCGGGTTGAACTCCAAGGGAAGGAAGTTACCTAAGGTAAGGTCGGAACATCGCGTCGTGACTTCCTCATCGTGTATTTCGATTTCCATGAGGTTCTCGGAGCCGCCGCTGCACCTTCCTTTTCTCCAGTTACCGAGGTCCTTTAGGTAAGGCACCTCAGGTGGTACGTCCTGGTAAAAATGCATCTGTCCAAGACGGGAGGAAAGGAGAAGGGGAAAAATCTCTCCGGCCTCCGGTACAAACGGATTGGAAGTACGTACCTCCACTTTGCTTCAAGGCTCTCGTCCAGCTCCTTTCTCTCCTCCTCCAATCTATCCATCAAATGAATCTTTGCTTTTTCTTCTTCGCGCGACCAGTACTTACGACTTGGCGCATTCATGGCAACGCTGCCGCTGCCCTTCTTGAGAAAATTCTGCCAACGAATGCAACCTGAGTGCAGCATACGTAGGCCGCAGCCCCCTAAGCCTCTGAAGCAGCCACTCGCATCTCGGCGAATCGCCCTCGTGCCCCTCTCAGCCCTCCATTGCCAACACATTCCACTTCTTGAAGCACAACCTCTGATCCACGCACGCACGGCATCGTAGGCGCTTTGGGGTCGGAGTTGATACCTCACCATCAGTGATCACAGCCGGCGATGGGCCCGGAAGGCATTCCCCGTCCTTGCGCCGTGACGGCCCCCCCGCATCATACCCCGTACGTCCCTGAGGACTGGCACGTCGCCCACGTGCATGATGGCCCGCTCAAGTGGACTCGCCTCCATCCTAACGGACGTATCTCGTCCAAGAGGGTGTGCTGCAGGGATGGAAGAGCACTCGAATTTTTCCTGAACAGGACCTCCTCTTGCAAATACTCAATCGATCTGTAGCAGAAAGCATGGATCTCCCATGCTATCGGCCGAACATCAACTATTTCCAAACCCACCCCGAAGATCAGAACCGTTTTCTTGTCGCTTAGAAGGCCGATCGCTTCAGTGTACTGATCTTAAAGGCGTTTGAAGATGTCTTGCGCTAGGCCTGCGGCAGAGGATCATCGAGGACGTCTCGACAACTTTGCTACGCAAATCTTCCTCGTCTAGGGACCAGATCAATTGATTAGTGCCTGACGCATATCGCCAATGGATCATGGGCGCCTACAATTTGGCGAAGCGTTCAACTTGCGCTACGCGGGAACGTGCCATGTACGGATTTGAATTTAGACGCGCCGTCGCAAGATTCGCGAGGAGAACAAAAGGCCTAAATGCCAATGTCCAACTCTAAATGAGCCGGATCATTTGGCGCAAAGCTTCGCACTCGAGCAAACAATGGAGGGCTAGCCCATACAAGCCAGCAAGATTGAACACTCGCTCTCGACCTCGTCAACCGTAAGCCGAGGCAAACGCAACCTGTAAACAACCTGCTGGATGGTGGCCAGAGGACTGTTCCCCTCATCGTCAGCTGGCCGGTTCGCCCCGTATCGTTTCTATTTCCACATCGGCATTCTGCGTGTCGCAGGCGAAAGAAGAAACCCCCCCCTCTCTCAACGACGCGGGTGCCAGCATGCCAATTTCATCCACCTCAAACCATTGGATAGTCCTCACCATCCCACAGAGGAACTTTCCCCGCCACAGACTCTAAGTTGCAAATACATGCTCTTGGCGGTGGTGCAATGCAACCTGGAAATGTCTTGGACACATGCGGATCACACCTAGCAGAGTCGCCAAGATCTGGAAGCGGCTTAGAATGCCAGCCTAGCTTGTATTCGGCCAGCGTCGTGGGCGCAACAAGCGTGCTACTCTCTTGAATGAAAATGCTGTCGCTCCCTCGCCTTCTAGATGCGCTTCCCATCGACTCCAACACCCATTTCATTGTCGGCAGTTCTTGGACCAAAGACAAGCCATCACAAGCACCTCACAAAGCCCCGAGAAACCGTCGAAGCCTCACCCAATCGCTCGGGTCCGCCAACGAGATATGCCACTGGCGACTTGTACAACATGAGTGTCAAGTCCGTGAACGTCGGCCGCTTGAACGCCGTGAACAGCATAGCAAGTACGAATAATTCGGAACCAGAAACCAACCAACATGGCCACCTCACTCTGTGGCAGTCAATCAAGAAGTGGCGTCGCGTCGTTCTCTACTGCATCGGCATGACTTCTGCCATCCTGATGTACGGCTACGACTATGTCATTGTTGGCACCGTTTCAGCAATGCCCAGCTTTCAGTATGTTTCCTTACTCTTTGAGGCTCTCTGCCCTTGGCATTGAAACGTCTGGCTAACAGAACCATTCCAGGCATGACTTTGGTCAACAGCTTAATGGGAAGTGGATTCTGCCTTCACTCTGGCTCGGTCTCTGGAACTTCGTCAGCCCAGGCTGCTCCATGATTGGCTCTTTGATTGGAGGTGTATTCCAAGATAGATATGGTCGTCGAGCGTCGCTTGCATTGGGATCCTTTCTGTCAGCCATCGGTGTTGCTGTTTGCTTCGTTTCCAACCTCTCTCCTGATATCCATACCCGGCGAATCATCTTCCTCGCTGGCAAAGGCTTCCAAGGAGGGGCCATCGGCATGGTCATGACGACGTCCCAGACGTACATGTCGGAGATCCTACCGCCGAATCTCAGAGGACCGCTCCTGGCCTTTTTCCCAATCTTCACGCTGCTTGGCCAGTTGACCGGTGCCGCTGTCATCTTCGCGTGCCTCAACCTGGCGAACGGGTACACCATTTGCTTTGCATCACAATGGCCATTTTCTGCCCTTCCATTGTTGATGGCATTCTTGATCCCCGAAAGCCCGACATATCTCATTCGGAGGAATCACAATTCCCAGGCTCACAGGGCTCAACTGAAGCTGGATCCGCCGGGTGCCGACCCTGAGGACACTCTCGACACCATCCGCCGCAACATCGAGCATGAAAGGCGGCTCACCAACGCGACCTATGTCGATTCATTCCGCGGTGTCAACCTCAGGCGCACCTTGATCATCATGTTTTCCAACTCATTACCAAATATTTTTGGTCTGACGTTGCTGTCAAAGTCGAGTTACTTTGTGCAAGTCGTTGGCATGAAAGCCAACCTGAGCGTCATCGTTCTTATACTCGGTCTCGTTTGCGGTTTGATTGCCAACATCATGAGCGTATGGGTTCTCTCCAGGGTAGGACGTAGGCGGCTCATCTTAAGCACGCTATCTGTCTTGTCCATAATCTGGACCGCCATGGGAATTGCGGGCTGCTGGTCGGGTCCAGTGATACCATGGTACGTTAACAATAGCCTCGTGGCCGTGAACACCGCCCTAACTGACTGCAACAGGTACACATCCATGACACTGATAGCAGTGGTCATTGTGGCGGGTCTGGGAGTTTGGCCTGCCTCACACGTTGTCGGTGCCGAAACCTCAGCGCTACATTTACGGTCCAAAGCCCAAGCTATCGGTTGGTTTACCGCGGGAGCAAACAACTCCATCTTTGGATTTGTGCTGCCATACATCTTCAACCCCGACAAAGGCAACCTTAAAGCCAAGACCGGTTTCGTATTTGCTGGTCTTTGTGCTCTCGGGCTTGTCATTGCCTTCTTCCTGGTACCTGAGATGAAGGGACGAACGCCGGCTGAAATTGATCGCATGTTTGAGTTGAGGCTACCGGCACGACAATTCCGCCACTGGACCAACTCAGCTTCGGAAGGAGAGAAGAATGGTTCGGCCAGAGTTGAGAACTCTGCCGCGTAGTATTCCGTTGCTTTCCGACTTACCCTGAATGAACATACCTGCATTTCCATCGCCATTCAGCGACTGCAGTGAAGACCAGACTGCGCCTCGCACTCGCCGGCCCCATTGACACTCACCTCAATCCGCAATGAAACCTGTCTGCACGCACTGGCATGGCGTTGCTTTTCACCTGATGATGTCTTTCGCCAAGCTTTGCGCACCGGCCTTGGAATCATCTTTGTCCGTGACCATGAGCTTCTGTCCAACGGCTTTCCACCCATCAAAATTGTTGATTAGGCCCCCAGTTCATTTCAGCAACGTATTCAAATCTATCAATACATTGGTGATGTGAGATGTTCGGTCATAGAAGAAGAATCTTTACAAAGTCACGAATTAGACCACAGCTCTCTCACCCAGAGGTCAGCAGTCGTGCAATGTCAGTCGAGTTTAAAGCCCGCCTCTGACAGCGCTAAACCTCGACTAGTGACCGGGCGCCCGAACATCAGACCAGCATCCTACGTGTGGCTATCGAAGGCTAATGGTGCATGTTGCCGCGCGCGCTCAAGCAATTGACGACTGGGGAAAGCAGATCTCTCTGCAGGATCCCTCGCTCAAGCAGTATCAGTGGCTGTGTTTCGTTTCTGATTGTCAGTGACGTGAGACGACATGGTCGGGCATCCACAGTCAGCAAACATGTTTGCGAATAGCCAGAAGTGGACGAAGCGAGCCTTAGCTTGAATGGAAGAATTGGGCAGCACGTCTACCTGCAAGCTGACTGCCTCTTCCACTTGACAGGCACCCGGTAACAATATTTACCAACCAACAAGACCCAAACACCCTCATTTATCTTTCTTTGTACGACTCACCCGCATCTACCCAAAATAAAATCTTCTAGGCAGCCACATTATCATCGAATAAGCGCACGGAAGCGACCGCCCGCTTTCTTCAGTCACCCGCTGTCCATGGACCAAGTCAAATTCGATGAAAAGGCACATGCCATCAGTTCTCATCTTTGCTGGTAGTCCCATGCGGCTGGGAGGTTCCAAGACTGTCTGTTCGAGATCCCGGCCCGATCGTCTGATATCAGAGACAGAAGAACCACAGTCTAGGCCGACTTTCCGACAAGACAGTTCGCGATGAAGCACCGCCACTTGATAGCTTAAAACTACCATGCACCAATGAGGCACGCACGGGTCCCGTCTGTCGGGTACGGGTACGACATCTCTACCCGGACTAGCCCCTTCGAACTTTCCGAGGTCGCATCCCGGTGCTCAATCTCAATATTGTGCTTACACTCGCTGGCCTGAAAAAGGTAGCAAGCATCAGGATGGCCGTCACGGTACGGAAGAAGCACCATGCTTGTCGACAAAGGTGTGCCGGTGTCACTGTCAGCACTTAAACACACAAACAAGAATGTTTACAGACAAAGCTGACTACAGCTAATCTGGGAACAACTTCTCAACGGTTATTCGTGAAGATATCAGCTTAATCTTATCACAACCCCTGAGCAACTTAACTTCCAGGATCCTACCAGACGCTCAGTGGTCTGAGTCCGAGTCCTTGGGACCAGGATTTCAAACTCTCTCATCGCCTATGCCAGAATCGGCGGTACATCCTTACACACCCAAAGCTACCGCCTCCCATATCAGTTCAGCCTTGGACTGTCCATGTGGTATCAAAGAACGTTGTTCCGCACTGATCCACGCGGCAGCAACCAATGAAACAAGCAAGAGGTGAGTGTGTACGACAGCAAAGCACCCGCCGAGCCGCAGGCAAGCAGGGCTCGCAGCACGGCGACGGTGGTCAACAACTCGCCCCCGAGGACCCGACTGCCCTTGATCGCCCGAACTATGATACTCTTTGAGGCTCAAGATTCTGCAGTCTGCGGTGGGGCGTAAGCCGTTATGTACCTCGCCAATGTGGGATGCATATGCCAGCGCACGGCAAGCCGGGCCTCGAGCTTGGTTGCCACCTTGGGATGCGAAGCAAGCACCGACAGGGCATGTGCTGCCCAAGATACTAAAGCAGGGCGAGCACCTGCAGTTCTCGTTTCTCTGCTTTCTTCGTCTTCAGCTTGTCAACACTCTCGATATTCTTTGCAAGTTTCGTGCGGCATTGGTCTTGAGCACGATTGCCCAAGATGGCTTACCGACAACAACATGAGAGCGTCCTCTCGACGTCGTCTTACTCTTCGACGGCGTACGATCCGGCCGCCGCTTCGTATACTGCCATCAAGGAGCCGAAGGAACATGACCAGCGAGGGATCTCCGACCCCATGCTCGTCGACGAGTCGGACAGCATCCCAGAATGGAAACCCTCCAAGCACCAGATGGTCATCATCACGACGTTGTCCATCATGTCGTTCGTCATTGCCTTGGATGCGAACGTGATTGTCACGTCCTTGAGTGTAAGTTGGTCTTGGTGGCGACAGCTTTTGACAGCTCAATACTGACAGGGGTTTCCCATGCAGTCCATCATCCAAGATATCGGGGGAACATCTACGCAAGCTTTCTGGGTTGGCACGTCCTACCTGATTTCTTGCGCAGTAGCAATGCCTTTCTTGGCCTCCCTGAGTGACATCTTTGGCCGACCCATCATTCTGATTGGCAGCTTGGCATTCTTCACCGTTGGGACTATCCTTTGCTGCGTTTCCAACGGCATCGGGCTGCTTCTCGGAGGTCGCGTTATTCAGGGTATCGGTGCCGGCGGCATGTATGTGCTCAGTTTGGTCGTCTTTACCGACATTGTGCCACTCCGCCATCGCCCCAAGTACTACGGTATCATGTGAGTAACGATCTTTCCTGCGCACGCAAACATGACTGACATCACCCTCAGTCAGATGGCATGGGCTATCGGATCACTCACCGGCCCCATCATTGGTGGTGCTGTTGCCGAGCACACTACCTGGAGATGGATTTTCTACCTAAACTTCCCCATCTGCGGTTACTCGCTGCTCGCCATCCCCATCCTGTTGACCTTGAAGCCTCCTACGGCGACCTTCACCGAGAAGCTCAAGCGCGTCGATTGGCTTGGAGGTTTCCTGTTCATTGGCTCCATGGTGACATTCCTCGTTGGTATCTCATGGGGCGGCAACGACTTCCCCTGGCGTAGCGCGCAGACCTTAGTGCCCGTCTTCATAGGTGCTGCCGGTTTGACAGTGACTCTGTTCTACGAGCACAGCTATGCGAGGTACCCGTTCTTGAAGAAGATTCTCTTCACCGATCGTAGCGCCATCACGGTTTACGTCCTCGGCCTCCTTCAGGGTTTCATTGTACGTGCATCACACAAAAACGTCTCCGATGATCGTTGGCTAACCCCTCGCAGCTCTATGGCCAGCTGTACTACATCCCCTTTTACTTCCTGTCCGTCTCGCAGTACAGCCCTACCATGGCCGGTGTGGCCATGCTACCCGTCACCCTTCTCCTGCTCCCGGGCTCCATCATCTCCGGCATCCTCGTCTCCCGCTTCAACGCGTACCGCTGGTCCATCTGGATTGGCTGGGCCCTGATGTCCATCGCCTCCGGCCTCCTCATCTACTGGGATGTGGACACCTCTCTGCCTGTGCACATCGTTACCCTCGCCATCGGTGGTATCGGCCACGGCTTCGTCCTCAATGCCCAGACTTTCGTCACTGGCGCCATCGTCGAGCCCGAGAACTCCGGTCACGCCGCGGCCATGTACCTCTTCCTGCGCATGCTCGGCTGCGCCATCGGCGTCAACGTTGGTTCCACCACGTTCCAGAACGTCATGGCTATGAAGCTCGAGCGTAAGGGTATTGCGCAGGACATTGCTCAGCGCGCTGAGGAGTATCTTCTCGTCATCAAGGGCCTGGCAGACGGCACTTTCAAGGATGCTGTCCTGGAGTCGTATGCGTTCGGCTTCAAGGGCGTCCACGGTGTGTACGTCTCGCTGGCGGTGATTGCCTTCTTCGCAAGCTTTATGATTCGTCACTATGATCTGAACAAGATCCACGAGACGGCGCATACGTTGCACCAGAACCGGGTGTCAAGGATGTTTGATACCCGCAAGAGCGCGAGCCAGGGACAGCCTCAGCCTATTCCCTCGTCGCCTGGTGATAGTTCTTAGACTATCTCCGGAGTACGACCATTGAGCTGCGTGAGTGTTATCAGACGCTCAACAACGGGGGTTCCTTGTATGACATAGGATGGGAGTATGGATGGATAAGTACGGATACTTGAGGTCGGGAATACGGATACACGGACACACTTAGCACTGAGCATGGAGTTGCGGTATCATAGACACAGGGTATGCTGATGGAGATGGAAGGGAAATGTCATGGGTCATTAGGTCTTTTATACGGATAATCTAGCATCATTCATTTATTGCATATCAATTCATCGCCGGTCGGCTGCGTCTTGTTCGTGACGATTGTTTATCACGTCTTGAGCATCTGGCTGCTTCAGATCCACATGATGTTTTTGCATATTACGTATTCTTAGAGATACTTCAACCCCTAAGTGTTCTATAACAAGATGTAGATGACTCATAGTTACATGTGGCTGTCCTAAATCTATACGATTGCTGGCGGCCGAGCTATAAAGATGCCGACTACCTCGAGGAATATTAAAACGACGATCTCACATATTCATAGAATTTATACAAATAATACCGGTATGCGTGGCAAGAGCTTAGTATAACAACAAAAAACCCCGCCTTCCGAGATCCATATCCGGAGCAGTCCATGCTTCGAGGAACATGACTAAAATCCTACTGCCGGACTGTTCTCTTCCCCGCCCTACGGATACAGAAAGTAAGGCGGAAGAAAGGGACTGGTACATGCATGAGTCGGGGGTGATTGAGTTATTCACATCCTGGCCGGGGTTGTAGTGCGTTTGATGAGCTACTCAAACTTTATTGCGTGTTCCCCACGTCCATCATCATGGATTCACCCGAACGCGCCGGTGTCCGTCCGCCGTAGTCGGGGTAAAACTTCAATTACCTGTCTCGCTAGGTAGTTTTCTCCGTAGATGTGGTTGCCTTTTTTGTGTCGCTTTAGTATCGTCGCATGGTCATTTGAGGTGGTGATATCTCACTTGAGGCACACATCATTGGGCTATTCAGTCGCTACCTACCTTACCTAAGACTCATCACAGTAGCTACGACGATGCGAATCCATTCACTCTTTCATATAGCCGTGCCTCTGTTGGCAACCGCAGATTCCGCCCCAGACGGCCCAATAGTCGACCTGAAATATGCCAAATACCAAGGAACTTTCAACTCGACCTTGAACCTCAATATATTCAGAGGGTAAGCTCGCTCAAAACACATTACCTCAAACAACAACTTCCTTCATGATCTAACGTCACCCCAGAATCCGCTACGCAGCCCCTCCAACAGGCGACCTCCGCTGGAAACTGCCCCAAGACCCAACATCCAACGACACCCTCACCCCAGCCACAGCAAACCCGCCGCGATGTCCATGGGCCCGCCGCTCCCTCCAGTACCCCAAAACAGCAGCCGAAGAAGCCGCCCTCCAAAACTTCGCCTTCGCCGGCGACGAAGATTGTCTCTTTCTCAATGTCTTTGCCCCAGCCGGCGTCGCGGCCCTGCCGAAACCTCTGCCTGTGGTGGTATGGATCCACGGAGGGGGTTATAACCTCGACTCAGCGTCCTCGTTTGACTTTTCCTCGCAAATTGTGACGAATAACAATAGCTATGTGGCGGTCGTGATACAGTACCGTCTTGGGGCGTTTGGGTTCCTTTCGTCGGAGGAGCTTGTTAAAGGCGGCGGGGTCACGAATGCTGGGTTGTGGGATATGATTCACGCGTTAAAGTGGGTGAAGACGCATGTGGACAAGTTCGGAGGGGATCCGAGGAGGGTGACGGTAGCGGGACAGTCTGCTGGTGCGGGAGGGGCGTTGTTGTTGGCTGCGAGTGATGAGGCTGTTGGGTTGTTTGACGGTGTTATTGCGAGTAGTCCGTACTTGACTACTCTGCCGTACGTTTGGCCCCGACCCCTTTATGTTATCCAGGTGTATGTGTAGATCAGAACTGACATTCGACAACAGCAAACACGACGGCGATAGACCGACGAGAGCATACAAAAGCCTAGCAGAGCGCATAGGCTGCTCTTCAAACGCCACATCCTCATCCTTACTCTCCTGCCTGCAGAACGCAGACTCCCTCACGCTCCAAAATGCAAGCGACTGGGTAAGTACCCAAGGCCGCTACGGCCAATGGGAATGGCGGCCCGTCATCGACGGCAAACTCGTCAGAGATACCCTCACGCAGGAGTTGTCTCAGGGGAAAGCAGACGTCAACGGGCGGCGGGTTCTCACTAGCAACGTCGCGGATGAAGGACCGTATTTCACATGGCAGAACATTACCTCCCAGGCACACTTTGTCTCGTTCCTGCAGAGTAACTACCCCGCGCTCTCAGAGGGCAACGTAACAGAAATCCTCGCCACCTACGCGCAGAAACACGAGGCATTCCTGATGGCCAACTCGAAGGATGCGAATAATACGGACCCAGGCTTCAGCACCAACGGCCTCGAATCACCGTACGCAACGACAGTATCGGACTACGCTACGGGCTGGCAGCAGGTCGCCAACAACTTCTACGCCGAAGCGACGTTTATATGCGCCTCGCACTGGCTTGCGAATGCATATGCCGCTAAGGACGGGGCGAGAGCGTGGCGGTATCAGTATAGTGTTCCGCCGGCGTACCACGGCGTCGACATCGGGTCCGGATCGGCTGTTGATGTGTTGCTTGCGCCGGTTGATACGCCTGGAACGGCGGTGACGATGCCTTTGCGGCTGGCGCTGCAGAATTCTTGGGGGCAATTCATCACGCGTGGAGAGGACTTGGTGCTTGGTGGGAGCGGAGGAAACTCGACGGTATGGGCGCAGTGGAAGGAGGGCGGGAGAGGAGCTGCGAGTATGTTGAATGCGAATATGACTGGTGGGGTGCCGGTTGGTAAGGTGTCTTCGTTTGATGGGATGGTTAGTTTGAACATTACTAGCTATACGCCTGGGGATGCCGGGAGTCCGCCACTGCAGACTGTGTTGAAGGTTGTTGATGGAGATAGGTGGGAGGATGGACGGGGAGACAGGTGTAGGTTGTTGGCGGATTTGAGTCCCTGGCTAGCTGATTGATTCTCGACGGCAAAGAGTTGATCCAATCTCTAGAGTTTTTGCTGTTTCGAATCAATGAGACAGTAGATTATGATCCTTTTGATATAGGCACAAAAGTTTGCTCATTGTGTCAACACCAAATGATCCTCACCAGCAAGGTCTCTAATCAGCGTAATGGGCATGATAACGACTGAAATCCATTCAACGACCCCTCATGACTTTCTCGATCCTATTCTTGATCAATTGAATGCAACAGTTGTTCTTCAAATAGCCGTCTCTTAATGACTTGTCATAGTTGACGAGTGAGAGTTTCGTCGCCGTTGCGATTGTCCAGTTTCGGTGGATTGCCTGATTAGGCATAGCGCCGGGCCTCTCCTCGGCATCTTGGCCCCGCGAATTCAGCCGTCGATTCTGTATTTAAAGTGTTGCTTGCCCATGACAGAATTTCGCATTTATGAACTCATGTTGCGCAATCACAGTCCCTTTCTGTCTGCTCTGAAAGGAACCAAAGGCTTGCGCTGACTCTTTAATCACGATGGCTCAGACTGAGGGGTTGTGATCGAATGGAGTCTTTCCAAGCCGGACCGAGGTAGCCATAGTCAACGGCCAGAATATAGTGGCCAGATGTGAGAAAGTATCTGGATGATTTGGATCTTCCCGCTGTATTTTAAGTGTCAATTTTGAACCAGCTCCGCGTTATGACTACATCAACTCTTGATCAATACGAGGATGGCAACACGCTTGATAGTAGCGGTAGAGCGATAAGCCTAGTGCCTTAGTGCCGGCGTGCCGACCTCCCCGCTCCGAGGTTCGGCGAAGCGTTCCTTATCTCCCGTCCCCTCCACCTGCGCGTATCTCCCCTCACTTGCAAGTTGCCAGACCAAGACTTCGGGGACAACGACTGCAAGCAAAAGCCAAAGCGGTCAGAAATCATCAATCGCACTGTCGAATTCGTCTCATTTTGAGGAACTGAATATCATGGATTCGTCACCGAGGCGGCTGTCAATGAGCAGCAGACACGGCGTAAGTCGCGAAGCGGCCAAGACCATTTCGGCGTGAGTCTCCGAGACCCCTTCCAGCCCCCGTGCCCGTCCGCGCACCCGGTCTCGATTACTTCGGGAGCACCACATTGTGTGAGCCTGGACCGTCGAGACCCATTGTTTCCATCTGATTTCCAGGCCTTGCATGCATTGAGTTATCGATTGTAAGTCGCTGACGAATTTGGGTATCCGGCAGATGTCTTACGTGCAGGCGGAAGAAGGTAAAGTGCTCCGGCGAGGCGCCGTGCACGTATTGCAGCAAACGAGATCTGGAGTGTCAGTTCCCCGAGCCGGGGAAGAAGCGGGTCTACTCTGTGACGTGAGTTCAGTGATGCTCCAAAGTGTACGTCTATGCACATGTGCATGTGCATGCTGACGATTTTGGACAGGAGGATACAGGATCTCCAGGACAGGCTCGCCCGGTACGAAGGTCAGGGGTTCAGCCTCGGTCCGGCGCTATGTTGGTGACGTTGTATCCATATCTTTCCTTTCGCAGTATTGACAAAATTGTAGCACGAGACAGTGAGACTATCAGAGTACAACCCACTCAAGCAGCGTCGCCAGACCGGCCGCCAACGAGGGCAACGGCGCAGACGCCTACGGATAACGCGACGCAGGTGAATGCTGCTTCCACGCTTTTGGGTCTAGCGCTAGATCAACTCACGTCTCCGACACCGACCAATCCAACATCTGGAGGCCATGGAAACAACCATGTTGCATCTTCTCCAGGCTCTGGTGAGTCCAAGGCTTGTCGAACATGCTTCCGAACGAATGTTGACAGATCTCACCAGCCATTGCGGCCGACTCGTCGCTGAGTTCAAGTCACACTTTTGGCTCACGCCTGCAAAACCTGTTGGAACATCCACGTTTAGGCCGTCGAGAACCAATGCAACCACCCGCCCGCTCTCTATCCCAGACAACGACCCTTAAACCCCTCGACGATGGTCCCACAGGCGCTGGAGGCATCGCCCTTCCCTCAGAAGAGGAAGCTCGCCGACTCTTCGAGAGCATGACCTTCTTCATCGGGTACACGCAGCACCACATCGACACGCGGGAATTCTCGGACCGCCTCGCCTTCTTCTACGCGAACCTGGGTGATACGTCACAGGCGATATCACAGGCGCAGATGCCGTGGTACCTCGAGATGCTGCTCGTCTTTGCCATTGGGAAACTTTTCTCGGGCGGCTTCGACGAGGAGGAGAAGGGCGGGAGTTTGCCCGTTCCTGGGGCAAGCATGTTTGCGCACGTGCAGGCTCGGTTGCCGAGCTTGAGCGAGCTGTATGGGCTGGGCAAGCTGGGGATCGAAATTCATGCTTTGGCGGCGGTGTATTTGCAGAATGCGAATCGGAAAGAGGAGGCATATCTATATGTGAGTTGCCCCTGTCTTTCTCGGCATTGTTGCGAGGGTGCTAAACTGCGTAGATCAGTTCAGCCCTTCGACTGGCCACGACGCATGGGTATCATCGCAAGTCGGGGACGCAACACTTGTTGCAATCGGAAAAGGTGCATCTGAACCGTCTCTGGTGGACTGTGTATATGCAAGAGAGGTGAGGAACAAGACGCCGAAGGATTGATGAAGGATGGGCTAACGTGGGGTGCAGACGACTTGCAGCAGCAACTGGCAACCCTGCTGGGATTCTAGACGATGTCATTGAAATCGATATGCCGACGGATTCCCCAGGTTTCCCACCAGCGCTTCCTCTGCGAACCAATATCAAGATCGCAAAGGTTACCGGAAGGATCCTATCAAGTAAGAGGGCTGCCGTGTTCGAAGAAGACGTTTGAAGCTAATTCTGTCAGCGATCTACGGGCCAGGGAACCATCCAGAGGAAACGTTTGTGCCGAACGTGCAAGAAATTGTCCAGTCATTGTACTGGATTGCCAAGGAGATCCCGGGCGAGTTCTCGTCCAAGCTGTCTGATATGCCGTCCATGGAAGGAGATGTGTCTCTGAGAACATCGGCGTATCTCCACATGATGCTATATCAGGTAGGTTATTACTACAGCAATGTGCCTCGACATCGCTAATGACTTGTACAGGCGATTCTCTTGACGATACGGCCTGTGATGCTCCACGTCTCGAAACTGATCTTTGACGAGGAAAGTGGAGGAAGTCTAAGCCTGGGGTCATCGCCGCTCGGGAGATTGAGTCGAACGTGTTCAGAAGCGGCCCGTCGACTGTTGGAGGTCCTGATGCTATTACGGAAGAGGAATATCTTAAGTACGTCGAAGCGATTCCCGATGCACAAAATCTCTTCTAGAATCTCGACTAACCAATGACCGCGTTACAGCAACTTTTGGCTTCTTCGATCTCGACGCCATCTTTTCAGCTGCTTTCATCATGATCCTGACGATGACGATCGACTCGACCTGCGAGGAGAGCCAGAAATTGGCACCAAGCCCAGGCTTATCAGAAGCACTGGAGATACTCGATTACCTGGTGGGCCGCGGCAATGAGTTCGCGCTCCAGCGGGCTCGAGAAGTCAGGCGAATGCGAGACCATCTGTCGACGTTTCTGGACATTCCCAAGAACAGCCCAAGCGAGTTTTGTTCCCATCCCCCAGTGGCTACAGGATCGGGGCCCAGCGGTGGGCAGCAGTCGCCTGCAACGATGGCGGCGTCTACGTCTTCAGAGGAAAAAGGTGGCGGTGAGGATGCCAGAGCACGTCAGCAGAACTTCCGAGATATGACGGTGCGGGGTTCGGTCGAGAGAGGAGGCCTGACACCGTCGGGAAGTAGCAGGGCGAGCCAACTGGGATCGAGGAGTCTGCTGGACTCGAGTTTGTGGAACGATATCTCGTATCTTTGGATGCAGCCCGCCCCAGGGGCCGAAGATGCGCAGGCGTTTGAGCAAGCGGAAGGGATGGCTGATTTGTTGCCCGAGGATGCGTATAATTGGAATTCGATCTATCGCAACCAGGATTTAGCCCTAACGGGACAAGATCTGGGGGATTTTGGAGAGTTGGAGAGACACATTCTAGGGTTTGGCGGATAGAAGCTCGGGATTTGTTGTAGTGATAATGATACCTAGTATAAGATGAGTCAACAAGAGTCAAGGGGGTTTCATTGTGCTTGAAAGAAGATACCAAAAGTCTGGAGCAGCGTCATGTCTTTTCTTGGCTGCGTTGTTGAGCGTCAAGAGCAAGCTGCAAGACTCATCACTGCGCTGGATGAGTCATCCTTTGATTTACCTGCCAGGCAACCACATCGATTTATGCTTAACTGGGAGCCTGGGCAGCCAGACGAAGCCACTGGCGAATCAAAGGTCAAGAATGCGAGAAATATCTATGAAAGAGGGAGAGATGAAGTTGAAAGAGCAAAATGCGAGAGGGCGCGTTACAAAGCAGGTGACGTGCAGTAGGTAGGTACCTTATGAGAGGTCGCACAACTGCTGGAAGGTGCGACCAACGGCGCCGAATGCCTTGGATTGTCCTTGCTGATTGGCTTGTGACTGCTCCAGTCCGCGCTTTTTAGGGTGCTTGTTCGCCGGAAAGCTGCCGTAATGCATCATTAGGTTTGGTGCCTCCAGACTTCCCGGCCATGGAAGCTGCTTCCAATTGGCAACGGCGACCACAGTGACATTCAACATCGACAAGAAGCTTGGCCATCACTCACCTGCCCTCCCGCCGGAAGCATGGGAGCAACTCCAAGCTGCAGCGCACCTTCCACTGATGATTTGGGAGTCGGGCGATCTTCGGGTCTCCAGCCACCAGCCACAATTATCAGTGGATACCTAAGGTGATAAGGTATACAAGCCACATGAACAAGTGGCTTGCACCATGTGGCTCATGCTTCCCAGGCAAATTGGGTTCAAACTCTATTGTCGACAAAAGCAGTCGTTTTTGCCCTTTTTGCATAACCAAGGCAATTCAGCAATCGAGCAATCCTTGAGCAATCCATCGGCTTGCTTATATCAGGTTAAAACAGACTCTCGGGAGCGGCTATTTGACGCCATTTGAGCTTAATCCATCGTCGTCTTGACTTTGACAGGAAGGCATCCAGCTGGCGCACTAACGTACATCTTCAACCGTCTGAATCAATCTCACTTTCACCCATAGACAGCGTGACCAACACTCGACTCAAGACAAGAACGTCTTATCTGCCGATCAGACTCACTGGGAGAGGGAACGGAAAAGCAAAGACCGCCAATCCACCCACTCAGTCCCTTGGCGGAGATGGCGACTCGCAAGTTTCGCCACTACGCCTCACTCTGTCTAATTATACAAATTGACACTGGGCAGTGAGTTCACACAGAACGAAAGCGAATTACATCACTGCCATCGTGCCACGCAGACCACTCACTATTACACAGTATCCGTACGGACACACACCGAGTCCGCTGCCCCTGTGCCCCTGAATGACATACGGTACCTCGCCTCCGAAGACTGGAGCCACGATGGACCAGAATGTGTTTGGTCTGCTCTCTCGGAATCAACCGGCCAAAGTCACATTCGGCACGGGAGCCATGTTTGCTTGCGGGTGGCTGTTTTTTTTTCATGCTCTTTGGTTTTTTATGTTCTGCCCTAGACTGGAGATCCGGTTCATCGCGCCGACGTTTGGCTCGGAACTGTCGCAGATTTATCGCTGCTGACATCTGTCCCCAGCAGGGTTACTTCAACACCTCGATGCGACTGTCTTGGCAATGAAGCTAAAATGCTCTGGCCAATTTCATCGATCCAGCATCGTGCCGGCGTCAACAGCGCGAAAAGACATGCAGGAAGTTTATCATAGTACGGCGAGATCAAGTGATTATCTGATCACTCACAGGACCATTCGGCGGAAACTCTCAAAAACAATCTACAGAGCTTGGCCAACCAAGAAATATTGCGCAATCGTTATTATATTCCAGGCACCTTTGCAGCCGGCCCAGAAAAGCTGATCTCTTGGGCTGTTTGACCGTTGGACGGTTCAACGGACAGTCGTTGGAGGCTCACTCATGCCCATGCAGCGCATCTCGGCCAGAGTCCACAGCCCACACCGCGTCGCCGAATATCTCCTTTCGAATCTCTTCATATTGGGAGTTTGTCCGGCTGGGCGCGCCATGATCCATCAATCATCAGCCCGGGAGGCCAACCAAACAAGCCAAAAACATGCAAGACCAACACTCATCCCGAACCGACAGTCTTCCATCGATAATGAGCGCGGGCTGAAGAGTCGCACCCGACGTGGGGCCATCCCGTTGAGCGAGCTTTGAGATGAAGGGGTGCAGCGAATACGCAGCTTGGCAACGCAACGTCCAGGGCCCCCGACGGTGCCCACATCACGCGCAAAAAATATGCCAATTGTGGTCTTTGGCTCCTCAAATTCCCTTTTGACCATGCCAACTCCAACGGTCACCCAGTGTCGAGCACATCCCGCCCGGGCTTGGCCCCAGCAGAAAAGATCACAGGTCATCTCAATCACCCAAATGTCCAAGAAAGCCAATACTCGTTGGCCTTTATTCGCGGCGACGGACCCATGAGTTTAAACTGATAAAGAAGGTGAGCGTCCTGCAACTCCTGGGGCCGCTTAGGACTGCGGACGGGTCTGCTCTTACGGTTTCTAGCTAGTCTCTCTACTCCGAACGGATACTCAGATACTAGCACGACTAGTAACGGAGCGGCGTAGCACTTGAGAAGCGAAGCAGGCCCGCCGTCTTTCAATCTTCTTAAGACGTGCCAAGACGTTGCCAAGACGCGTACGTGGGGAGCCTCAACCGTCGTTCTCGTCACTGACTGGATCCGGACCTTATTTCTCCATCCTCCGTCCAACATCCCATCCACTTCTTTGCCAGAATGGGCCAAGCAGGCGGAGATGAACCGTGGAGGGGGTGGGATGCGACGATACTTGGCTCATAAACAAGCTCCCACTATGCTGACGACGACATCGAGATAGCCGTTGGCGTATTTCGTCTTTGCAGACTCGCAGGATACTGGGCAGGCCACAGAAGCACATCATATTCCTGTTCGACAACGGTGAACTTATCCGACATGGTGCGGGCGGTGCGGGATGAGAAACAAGATGACCATGATGGATCTCTAGTTCCTGGATATTTTCTGCTCTCCCCTTGGCTTCCACTTGGCAACCCTTTGCCTTTTCATCCCAACCCCTGATTCCCTGGTCTCCCGGCCTCAAGCCCAGTGCTGTTCATTGCTCCAATCTGCAAACCCCTCGTCCTCGCAGTCGCCATGCTCTGCTTGGCTATCCCCATCTGATCATTCTGGTGATGATCAATAAGCGCAAGCCCCCCCCCCCCCACTGTCGTCCCTAATCACCCCGACTCATCCAACTCATCCCAGAACCCCGTCGAGGAATCCTTCGTTGCACGGTTGCACCGTTTCCCCCCCCCCCCCCGTCGGGTGCTCTCCAGCAAACATGGAGGCGCAGACGAACCGGCTTGTATCCGATCTTGGATTAAAAAGAGCTCCCTTCCCCCCAGCCTTAGCCGGCTTTTGAGGAAGCTTGGCGACTCAGATCTGGCTCCTTCATCCGCTTGCTTCTCACTCTCCTGTCGTGATTTTCCAAGTCTCGACATAGTCACTCTTTTGAACCTCCCAAAGCAAAGCAAAACCCCTCATATCAAAGTCCATAATGAAGTCCGTCCTCTTCTTCGCGACCGCCGTCGCGGCCGCCGGCCCTTACCTCGCCTGGACCGCCGACTCGTTCACCAAGCACGAGATCGACAACAAGAAACCGTACCACTACACCAAGGCCGTTCTCTACGACGGCTTTGAAGCAGCCATCGAGCTCACTAAGGATGATGCCCTCGTCGACTGGTACCGTAGCCGTATCGATGACCTCGTCGTCCAGTCCAACGGCAGCATCCTGAACTGGAAGCCCACCACCTACTCCCTGGACGAGTACCGCATCGGCAACAACATCCTCTGGTGGTACGAGCGCACCGGCGAGGAGAAGTACAAAACCGCTGCCAGAACCATCCGCGACCAGCTTGTCGAGCGCCACCCCCGTACCGACGAGGGCGGCTTCTTCCACCGCAGCCCCGACTACGACTACCAGATGTGGCTCGACGGCATCTTCATGGCCGACACCTTCTACGCAAAGTGGACCTCCCTGTTCGACAAGGACAACACTACCGCCTGGAACGACATTGTCAACCAGTTCGAGGTCATTGACAAGCACACCCGCAACTACACCACCGGTCTCCTCTACCACGGCTTCGACGAGAAGATGGAGGCCGTCTGGGCCAACCAGATCACCGGCGCCTCCCCGCTCACCTGGTCCCGTGCCGTCGGCTGGTACGCCGTCGCCCTCCTCGAGGTCCTTGAGCTCCTGCCCCGCGGCCACCCCGGCGTCACCACCCTCTCCCGCTTCTTCGTCACCCTCGCCGAGGGCCTGAAGAACGCCCAGGACAGCACCACTGGTGGATGGTGGCTCATCATGGACAGCCCTTACGTCGGCCGCCCCAAGAACTACATCGAGTCCTCCGCCTCCGCCCTCTTCGTCTTCTCCTGGCTCAAGGGCATCCGCCTCGGCCTCCTCCCCGAGCGCCGCTTCTTCCCCGCCGCCGCCAAGGGCTACCAGGAGCTCACCACCTTTGTCGTTGAGAACGCCAACGGCACCGTCAACTGGAACGGAACCGTCGAGGTCGGCTCCCTCAAGAGCAACGCCAGCTTCGAGTACTACACTTCCGTCCCCATCGCCATGAACGACTACAAGGGCGTCGGCCCCTGGATGTTCGCCTCCTACGAGTGGGAGACCTTCAACCAGACCTCCACCGGTGGCAGCCGTCCCCGCGGCCCCGGTCGCGGTGGTCCCCGTGGCCCCGCGGTCCCCGCACCTTCAACCGCCGCTACCACTTTTGAGTATAGATGGAGGTGTTTCTAGGAGAACCTAAAGACGTGACGGAAGCATACGGCCGATGAGATCAAAGAGTCATGGCCCTCAAGCGTGTACATGAATTAAACTTAATTTCTTAATCCCTCCTCTGGGGGCGTCTGTACATTTTTTTTTCTCCCTCATTTACATGGACATAGATTCGTTTCTCCTTGATAATCTGTTGATCGTCTTCGTAATGCGTGATGTTCTATCTGCTTGTCGTGTACTTATTTTGACACTCGCCAAGGCAAGTTCTTCAAAGCATCGTCGATTCTGCAGTCATGTTAGCCAAGTTCCCCAAGTATCTCTCCTCATAAACTCACCTTCTCAACCCCTCGGCCACGATGTGCTCCTCTTGTGTATACACCAACCGAAACCACCCCGGCGCAAGACAATGCTCCTCTCCCGGGTGCAAAAATACACCCCTCTCAACAAACCTCTCCGCCAACGCAAACTCCCTCTCACGATCCGACTCGTACTCTCCCTCCTCCTCCTCCTCCTCCGGCGGCGGCAACCACGGCGACAAGTCAATATACACAAACAACCCAGCGTTCGCCTCCACGTATCCAACCCCCATCTCCCGCAACCTCCCCGTCACAAATTCATACGCGCCCGCGATAGCCCGCCTCGAACTGGCAATAAACTCATCATGCCACACCCGATCCTCAAACATGGCAGCCGCAATCGCGACAGACGGTCCAGCGGGACTATGAAACCTCACCACGCTCGAAAACGCCTCCTGCAGCGCCGCGTTCCTCGACACCAGCGCGCCTAGCCGCAATCCCGACGACGCAAAGTCCTTGGCCAGGCCGTACTCCACGTGCACCAAGTCCGGATCGATGATGCCCGCCGGATCAATAGACAGCACCGACGTGAACCCGGGCATCTCCTCGCAAGACCTGAACACGGAAAGCCCATACACCTCGTCACTAACAAGATGAATCTTATGCCTTCCACAAAACCGCAAAATCGCCACAAGCGTCTCGCGGGGGTAACACCGTCCCAGCGGATTACTAGGATTCACAATCATCACCGCCCTCACCCTCAACCCCCTCCCCATCTCCCTCCGCACCGCAGCCTCCATCTCCTCAACCACCACATCCGGCAGGAAACACGTCTCGGGCGTGGTATCGGCATACACAACCTCCACGCCCATCTCGTTCCTGAAATCGAGCTCGAACCGCCCATACACCGGCCTCGGCACCAACACCCCCTCACCAGGCGACGCAAGCGCAAACGCGAGAATACACTGCACGGCCGTCGCCCCCGCCGCGACCCTCACATGCTCCACCTCAAGCGGCGCATAGGGACTGAACGTGGCATTCAAATGCCCCGCCATCGCGGCGCGGAGACGGGCGCCGCCGGCGGTGCTGTAGCTGTACCCGAACACATCGGGCGTGAGGGGGACCGTGGCGGCGAAGTCCGCGACGGCAGGTTGCATCAGGGCGTTGCTCGCGCTGCCGAACGAGATGAGGCCCGAGGGGTTGGAGGAGGCCGAGTAGGTCTGGACGGGGGCGAAGCGCCACGGCCGGTGGAGGGCCGAGGCGGTTTTTGCGGCGCGGGGGGAGAGCATTGCGCCTTTGGGGGATGTGGTGCAGGTCATTCGTGCTGTGTGGGTGTTTGCGTAAGTGTTGTTTTGGAGGCAAATCCTTGTTGATGGTAGGCTATCTTGGTCGGAGGTCCGAATGAGTGACCTAAGTTTGCTATTTCAAGAAAGGGTTGTAGAGACTCGGACTTGCTGATGTAGTCGCGAGGGCGCATCGGAGGAACAGATGCCGGCCGACCGGTATCCGGCGCGGGGAACCTGGAGAAGGGTGTTTGCGCACCTCTGCGGCCTCTCAGGTTCCATCCATGATCGGCCGGGGGTCCCACTGTTGGGCGCTGATGTGTTTCGTTTCAACTTGCGCAAAAGCGCTCAATTCCCACTCTGAAGCGATGCGTTTGCGCACTGAGCTGTTCGTAGATTAATTCGAAATTCAGAACTTGCAGGCGGGTTCATAAGCTTAATGGGGGACACGACCTAACATCGGCGGTACTGGGAGTCGATATTGCACGGATTTCCGGGCCGGCGATTGATGCTCAGACCCGGCCCCGCAGACGGTCTCGGCTCCGGCGTTCGGTCGATAGCCCCGGTGTGCTACCTACTCAAGGCCCCTTGAAATTTCCCATGTCTTGACGCCGTCTTGCTTATCAAGCGGCTATTAGGACTCGACTCCTTTTCTCCTTATACCCCCCCCCCCTTCGATAGTGACTAGATTGTGCTACACCCTTCAATGAGATTAGTAATAATAGAAAAGGGTTAATTGAGAATTTGCCCACACTACCTACCTATGTTAATACCCAGAGTATTAACTCATGGAGAGCGCAAGTAGCATACCATCTTCGTTGGCAAGCAATCTTTTTAACATGACTATAGCATAACCATTGTAATCCTTGATAGCCAAATCCGTTTGAGACTCTGCCTTCGTCGGCTGGAGAAAAGTCCAGAAGTATTGTGTTCAGCCGGATGTTATATTTTCAAACTCTTCGATACCGGAAAATACACTCCAGACGAAAATTCTGGCGCAGAGAGGATGATCCCACACTACACCAACTCATAGAATCGAAATCATCTAAAAATGCTAGAGTTAGTCTGATACTGCAGCAGCCATGAATACACGCAGTCTTTCTAAATGTCGGTACCTATTAAACTCGCAAACATCAGGAAAAAGCAACCTAATTCAGCGCCCAAAGACTCGACGGAATGTATTCACCGCCAACAGTAGTGGAGAGGCCGCAGATGGAACCTCCTAATTGATCCATTGGCACTTCTTGTTAAGTCAAGTCGGCGGGACTGGCTGGTCATTTGGTTTGGAAACACCCTCTAGCTGGTGTTGGACAGACATGTGAGACTGATAGACAGGACACGCTGAAGATAATGACAAGACGGAGTCTGACCACCATCGTTATTTGCTTCGAGGAAGCTTCTTGCATGAAAGATCCTGCCTTCACCTTTGTATTCTCAGACCTACATATACCTGTCATGTCTATTTCTGATGCTTATGTATTAGAAGCACAAGAAGAAGAACGGGACGACACTGAAAACCTGATTTTTATTGTTCAACGGACGATACCGAAGATACAACATCATCTCAAGGACAAGAAACAGCCAGACGTCTCAAGAGAGACACGCGAATCTCTCACAGACCAGGGACATGACAACACCTAGCCAAGGGGAGGAAAGGCATGGCAGTTTAAGACGACAAGAAGTTGGCAAACCAGCTGGGCCCTACAACCATGGCTGAGAAGTTCCCAAACAACACCCAAAGTGGCCACAAGACAACGAAGCGGCCAGACGCCTGATGTGGAAATGACAACAAACAGCCACACAACATGCTGACAACGGGGCCGTCAACTAGGCTTATGCCTGCGCACTAGTGTCGGGAGCGCAGATTAAGCCACGATGGCATATGCAGCCCTAATCCCAGTGGCCCATTAGCAGACGGCATTAATGGGAATCCGGCAGGATTGCCTCAAAGGACCCAAAGGTCAAGCGTTGGCTGACGGGTCCAACGTGTTTGTTGTCACCAGCGCGCTGGCTGAACAGTTTTCCGAGCGTGATATCTAGCACGTGTTGATACAACCTGGTCTGAGCAAATAACTGGTTGCTCCCACACAAGGACTACATCGTATTATCCGTCCAGCCGGATCTCTTCGGGCCAAGTACTCACCGTTTGTTGTCCTCCAACTCTGCTAGGCTCAGTTCGAAGGCATCATACGCACAGATTATCGCAGAAGAAACCAGCCTGGCCTCACCAGCCGTAACGGAAGGACGAAAAACAAGCTGAAGGGCAGCGGAGATGCAGCGCATGAGTCGCAGGGACCGATGATGGCTGGGGCTCAATAGGCGGGCGGGAGGCGGGAGTGGATGCAAGATGGACATGGGGTTAGCGGAGCGAATGGGGGTCTGAGGTTGAGACGAACAAGAGTGGTTGACTTGCGAATCTGACGTGCATGGGGATGAGCGATCTGTGGGCGGCCAGAACCGGGATGGAGAGGTATTTTGGTATCATCGTTGGTGCCATCGAGGGGTTGGCAGGCGGCAGTGGTACAGGATCAACGTGATACCAGCCTGGCGGCGCACAGTGGCTGGATCTACCCAGCTGCGCGGTAGAGGCCATTTCAAAGGCCCAAAATCCCGCTCTGGTCATTGTGGATGGCACAAAGTGCCTGATGTTTGGAATGAGTGCTCCCATACATGTTGTCGAGGTGTACCTCGTGTGCGAAGTGTGTGAACTTGAACTAGGCAAGCCGATGTAGATTCCAACGCAACAATCTTTCGAAGGGTTGCAGGATGTACTATCCGGAGCATCAAGACCGAATAGGCCAGCCGTTGTAGTTGGCACCTCGTACGGGGAAACGACGGCGGCTACTTGCTGGTAGCGGATGAACACAAGATCGTGAAGGTTTTCGTGCGGCGCTGAATGGGTACGAGCGAGTTGTACACGATGCAGCGAGTGCAGATGGAATGCAACCCATCCGGCGCGCGGGTAGACGACCTGACCGTTTTGCGGTGTGGAATTCGGGTGGCATTCGGGGAACGGTCTGCCGACCTTGTCTAGACAGGTTTGAGGACGACGGCCGGGCTGGCGGTACCTCGAAAGCTGGTGCAGGAGACGAGTGGCAGGAAGGACTCAATTTGGTAGTCGACTATTGGCCCCCCCTGGAGACGGGAGTTGTTGATGGAGATTGGAGAGGGATGTGGTGTAGCAGACGGTGTGGGTTGAGGCTGGTTGAAGCTCGCTGGGTTGGCCAAGAGGGGCCGATTGGGGCCCTGTGATGCGTTGGCATGGCGTGCCTGCTTTCGTGGACGACGCAGATTGGACGGTGGGCGAGCAGGGGGGCGCTGCGCTGTATGGCAGTGTCTCGAGCAGCGGGCAAGCCGTGAGGGAGTCGGGATTGGGCCTCTCTGTTGGGTGTATTGGAGCATGTAAAACAGCAGGACCAAAGGCTATGCATGCCAACTCATCAACGCGGCCGGAAGAAGAGGTGACTTCTCTTTTCCCGAGTTGTTTTACTGCTTCCACTCTCCTTGCCTTCCCCTCCCTGGTGCTTGTTTGCGCTGCTGTCGCTGCGTTGACTGGCCCGTCGGTGTGCGTAGTGATTTGTCCGACGTTTTGTTGGGGCGACACGAGAGACGCTGATGAGGTGGACGGCATGGCATGGGCAGTCGCTGTAACGGGACTCATGTTGCAGACCGCTTCTCTTCTTGGGTTTACCATCGCTGACGGGACAGATATGCCGCGACAAAGGTCTCTCGGTGGGCAAAGAGCAAAAGTCGGCGGCAAGTGTCCGGCGGCGGGCAGCGGGCGGCGGTGTTCTCTGCACTGCTGTAGGGCAATGCTTGATGCATGCTCGGTATCGCGGGCGAATGGTTGGGCAGTACGTATTCTTCAAGTGACAGCTGTGTCCGACGTGGTACGCCGAGCAAGGACGCACGAGGGCGGCTGCTCGTGTCGTGGAACAGGCAATAAGGCGAACGAAGATTGACTCAATCGGGTCTCGTCTTGTTGTGCGTGCGTGTGCGCGTGCGCAGTGTTGCGAACCTGTGCCTGTGTATGGAATATCGCAGGCCTCAAGAGCGAGGGTTACCGACGCAGCCCGGCCAGAAGAAGTTTGTGCTGAGGTGTTGAAACCTCGAAGTAGAGTAGCGAGTGACTAGTTGGAGCTGAGGCAGGGGGAGATGACGATGCCAAAGTCAATCAGAAGCAATGTCATGCAGCGGCCGTGGTTGGCTGTCTTTGTTGGTCTGGCGATCCCAGTCTTGATTGAATCTTGAGCTCCAGCTCGATCTAAGGACTTTTATTGGTATTCCTGGCAGCATCAGCCGAAGCTGAGAACATCGGACTAGATGGCTAGGTAGTCCTAGACTCGTAGGTAGGCACTGGCCTGTTGCTTTTATTGGATGTGGTTCGCGTGGCAATGGAAAGAAACAAAAACAATAGCAACGAGTGATACTCGGTAGCGTACTGATGACCGTGTGAAAGACTGGCGGCGAAAACGACAACGGGGATGGCTTCATCCAAGCAAGCTAGACAGTAGGGACGGGGGGTGTGTGTGTTTGGGTGTGTGTTGGCGGGCAACGTCTTTTTCGTCCAATGTTTCAACCCTTTGAATGTCCCACCTGCACCTGCACCTGCACCGTCTCTGATAGACTGATTGAAGCTGGTGCCTCTTTCCCACTCTCATGGATCGCATTTGCATTTTGTGTGAGGTGGCAGGTGGGAGAGGCGTGCCCCGTCCGTTCCTTCTAGCTTTGTTTGGTTTAGTTGCATCCCTCCTCCGTGTTTCCTTCCTTCCTTCTTTTCCCCTCCAGCCTTTTCCCCCACGCCTGCCCGCCTCGACACTTTTTAGATACATGTGCGACGAATATTGATGGAAAGAACGAGGCAGATAGATGGTCGGTACTTGGACAAAGGCACCAGGTCAGGTCAGGCCAGGAACATGTTTCTTGAACCAATAGGTGCTCCGAAGGAACCGAGGACGTGAGCCTGTGAGTGCGGATAAATACTTTACCCAAAGCAGACACCCTCGACACATATAAGTCATCATCTGACTTCAATACTTCCGTTGCGTGTGTGTGCGCATATGTGTTGTGCTGTATGCGATGGAATGACAGAGAGAGAGAGAGAGAGCTGCCATGTGCGAGTGCGGCCATCCTTGTCAGCAGTTCGCCCCCTCCTTTTTTTCTGTTTTACTGCTGGGAGGATCATCCAGCGGTTCGCAGCTACGGATACAGGGAACCAGCTGGAGAACAACTTTGCACCCTGGGTCTACCTTGCCCCGTTTCTCTTTGCCACGCATTACCTCTACATTGAAGAGACGGGACTGGACGCATCGCATCTCACGCACCAAACCCGCGTCTTTTTTGGGTTCCTAGCCGCTGGCCGTTGGCCGCTCGCTGGCTGTGTATCCTGTCGGTCCTGTCTCCGGCCCCAGTATCCCACCCCTGTCTTCCAGCTCACAGCTTCTATTTTCCTCCCGGCCTGTTGTTTGGCTATTTGAGTACCCGTACCGTACGGGCTATGGCCATGGGTCGGTCCAGTGAGTCGGTCGTGGCCGTGGACGTGGAGTCTCCCTGCCGGCACCTCAGGGCTCACCCACGCCCAGCTCCGCTGTCTGTTTCTTGCAGCGGAAAGCGACAGCTCTTTTTCTCTCTTTTTCTATCTCACCCCGGGCAGCGTGAGGAGTACCGATACCCAAGCAACCGGGGAGCAACTGCATGCAACTTGCAACATGTTCACGAACCAGTCTTGCTGTCCTCTTCTCTACCGTATTCGTCTTCTATCTTAGGTACCTATGTCATACATAGATACATTCTTGGGTATACCTAGGTACCTGATGTATTTAGGTATCTCTGGGACGGGAGGTGGAAGGAGCGACCCGACGAGGCACCTCAGTAAGGTAGGTAGGTTGGCAGATGGCAGGTGAGGTGAGGTACCTTACAGTACGTACCTGACCCGACCAGCCCACCCTCGTGTCGTGCCTGGTCTTGCCTTCCTTGCCTTGCTGTGCCTTCCTCGCCTTGCGACCCTTGCCTTCCTTTCTTGTTCCGTCCCTTCCTCCCGCATTTACCTTACCTTAAACCACGGCCAAACCTCCCATGACTTTCGCCTTGCTTGGGTTTCTGATTTGTTTTCTTTCCCTTCTTTTTTTTGGCAATAGGATTTCCTTCCCATGTAAACATATCGAAAAAGGCAGTGAAAACACTTCCTCTTCACGACGACATCTACCTCACCTCTCGAGGCACTGGCATTGCGCCGACCTCTTCTCTCCTCACCCCTCTGCCTCCGCCGTCCTTTATCGTTGAGTCTGCCCCGCTCCAGCAGATATCGTACCCACCCGCTTACGCCCATCGTCCACAGCGCACAATCGACGACATCGCACGATTGCGACAGAACAGCTATCAGCTTGTTCGGGAGCTGTTGCTGTTGCTGCCCACTCGCTCTTGGACCGGAATCCTCATGGTCGCATTATGATTTCCATGCAGCGTTCCCTCTCCTCGCCAGTTCGCGTAGTCTCTGCCCGTAGGTTCCACCAACAATCACCCTAAACATCACCCACAAAGCGCTATGTTCTATCATAACCTCCCGTTCCTCACCCTACCTGAAGGTACTGACTGTTCATGTTTTTCTGCGCCTTAGCTGCCTCCCAAGATGACGCGAACCAGCCCCGATCCTCGAATCCTCCCTCCGAAACGTACAATACCTCCTTCAGATCCCGCCGCCAGAGGTCTCCAAGCCCAACCCGAAGCGTCGAGGCCGTAACCCTGCCCGTTCGTCGTAGCGAAGACACACCGAGGAGACCCGCCTCTCGGTCGCACCAGAAGCCCGTGATTGCCCAAGCGTCAACGCCCATTGCCACCTCTCCCGTAAAAGCCACCATGGATTCTTCATCCGACACGGCACTCGCCTCCGCCGCCGGAACGGCTTCTTCCCCTGCGCTCCCCCAGGCTCTCCTCCCAGATCCATCCATGTACACGAACCCTCATCTGGCGCCCGAACCTGATACAACGACCCTGGAGGAGCTCGCCCATTTGGTCAGACTGTCCAAGTACCAGGAGCGCAAGCGCGCAAACACCCGCATACGCTTGCAGAGGAACCTCATCTCCACGGCCTTGTCAGCTCGTTTGAACCGCTGTGGTGAAATTGCCCGGAAGAATTTGGTTGATTGCTTCCGCTCCGATGACAAGAAGACCTTTGCTTCTCTGTTTAACGCTATTCACGATGTGCGTAAGAGCTGCGACGAACTGCGCCGCTATGCTCTGTTGGAACCCGAGATGGACTCTCTCCAGTCCCCTGCCCTGGCCTCCTCAGAAAGCCTGGACACGCCACCGAAATCAACCTCGGGATCTAGTTCTCTCGGATCCATGACCCCCTTTCTTTCTGAGTTGCCCGCTTCTGTCCGGGAAATCTTTCTTAATTTTCTGAATCAGATCAGGACCAACCCGGATTACCTGGCCACAAGATTGTGTTCTCTAACCCCTACAGAACTTAATGTCTTTACCGGCTTCCATCAGGGGCTAGAACCTGTAGAATCCGTTCTGCCCTACCACGGCCGTCCTAGTGCCAGGAGTCATGCCGGTGGACCAAGTAGTCGAGCACCCGCTCATTCCCCAAACGCCATCGAGCGTTTGCTGTCGTTCCAACGTCACGATCCCTTGTCAGCCCTGGTTCACACATGCTTCGCCAATTCGGCTGGCCCTGATAGCGCCGAGGATCGACGTCGAACTGAGATATGGGGAGCAGCTCTAGCAAGACTCATCACTGAATCCAAGGCCAGCAGCGAGCCCATGCTGATCTCTGTTCTTAATGTCTGGACGGCCATGCGGGATTGGTCCGGGAAGTCTAATATGGAATGGTACCTGATGAAAATACTCGAGGACGGTGCCTTTCTTTTGGATAAAGCCGAGGACCAGCACGGTACCAGGTTCAATCTCGCGGACTGGACAGCCAAGGACAGCATTGCCGCTGAGGAGTTCTACGATCGGGCCGTCAACGAGCTTTTCGAGATCATTGACGATGAGGATGCGACTGGTATTCCTGAAGGCCTCATCGAGCTAGGCAATGCCATTTTGAAGAAGCTTGATTCTAAGCTCGTCGATGGCACCCGAAACTGGTTTGTTTACAAGTGGCTCTTCTCTGTTTTCCTACTTGGTGTTGTCATCCATCCAGAAAGCCACGGACTCATGGGCGACTACCACATTACCGAGTACGGCCGGCAAAAGATCCTCAAGCAGGTCGCCATGCGTGCGCAGCAGCTTGTTGTCGAGGTGACTTGGAACAAGAAGGGTACGGTCTCAACCCCACCCAAAATACAAGGACATGTCGAGAGCATCCTGAATCGTTTCAAACGAAACCGTTCTCAGAGACCTCCAGCAAAGCTACTCCCGGCCCGCTCAATCACATCACTTCGAGAAACAGTTGAGGTTCATCCTTACCTCGTTGTCAGTCCGGCAGATCTAGTCACACTCGTCAACGCCTTGTTTCCGGAGCGCCGGCCCATGTCAGCTCAGTCCAGCGGGCTTAGATCCGGAGCGCCTTCCATCTCTGGTTTCTCGGCAATTTCACAGCCCATCTCGATGGGAGCCGCGCGGAGCAATTTCGACACGGCATCGATCCTCAGTACCAGTGCCTCATCTGTTCTTAGTGACGCCACGACTTCCAGAGAGACAAATCTGGATGATCAAAGGACCGGCTCGCCTCAGCGCTACTCGCCACCCGTGTTGGATCCACTGGCTCAGCAACGTCTTAGTAACTATGAGGACGATGGGTATCGTCTTCGTTTTGCCCTCCGCGAAATGGGCGCTCAGGTCGGTATGGATGTTGTCCAAGGCTCGTGCCACCCGTGTGCCGAACGATGGGCCGTGCTCTTCATCTCGGCAGATGGCAACAGCCTGTCAAGCCAGATGACTTACGACCCGGACGAAGATATCGAAGACGAGGACCACTCCTCCACCAGCGAGACTGACGATGACGAGATTGACGAGAAGCCTGAGCTTGACAAGGACTACCACCAACTGAGAGACTCGATTTTGAAGCTTGTCGAGGATTTCGAGATCCCAGCCAGCATTGAGCCGGAAGCAACAAGGGCACAGTTCAGCAACCGAGCGACTGGCATCAAAAAGTACCGATCCAAGAACAAGATTATCACCGCTGAAAAGTCTTCTCCAAGCAGAAACCCCTACCGCAGACGCGACGCTGAGGCTCAAGCGACTGCGACAGCCGATGACTCGCAAACCAAGGAAAATTCATCGACGACGACGGCAGAGAAGACAGAGGATGCAGATCCGGAGCCATCCTCGGTTCTCATTGCTATGCTTACTGCTGCCTCGGCTCAGTCGCGAGCGCAAGCCGACTTTGTGTCAGCTCACCTCTACTGGAAGACACTGCAGCAACTCAATGCACTCAGCTCGGGATCTCTGAGACGAAACGGTTTTGCCATACTTCTGAATATTTTCTCCCGAGGCCCTCGCGATTCAATCCGCCGCTGTGCTTCGGCTATTGAGGAGTACGACGCCTGGCTCGTCTGGCTGAAGCAAAGCCAAGAACGGCACGAGGGGCTCATCGACGCCATGATGAAGCGACTACGGGCTCTCCGCGACAAGATGTGGTATGTAACAGACGTCCGAAACTCTGCACCGTATGAGCAGAGTCGAAACATCTGCGCTGCACTCAAAACGATGGGTATGCAGAGGCGCTACAATTCTTACCAACGCAACCGCGCGCACCTTGCACGGGGACCGGCGTCAAGCTATCTGTATCGTACCGAGACTCAGATCATGGATCTTCTAGCAGCATCGGAAGAGCAGGGCGGGCCCAACAAGTTGAGTGACGACCAGGCAGACAAGACCTCCCGATGGCTTCAACAAGCGGGCGTAGAGAACTTCTGCTGTGGAGAGGAGCGAATTCACAGATTCGGTTGCGAAGTGGACACATGCATTTCGAAATTGGTTGGCGAGTCCATCATGGACAGCCCTGTTCTGTGGTCGAGTGAGCTTTACCAACGAGACAGACGCAATCTGGAGACAGGCAGCAGAGCCCCCCGAGACAGAGACCATGCATTTGATGACACAGCCAGCGTCATGAGCGACCCAGATCGAAGGTTCATGTCTACTGGCCGGCCAAGCTCTGTTCGGGACCTGCGGGCAATGTCAGCTCACAACTCTAGCCAGCAGTCATTCGACTCTGGCAGCTACCGTTTTTCAAGGGCAAGCACAGCCTTGTCCGACATCATCGACGGGCAGGACTATTTTGGCGTCTCATCGCCAGTCCACACCATCGACTCCAGTTCTACGTTTTGGTCGCCTTTCCAGTCGGCTATATCCCCGAGCTCGACAACGTCCCGCGCCCAATCTCCCACGACAAGTATGACAAACCTGTCCAGCGTGTTCCAGTCACCTCATTCCCATCTAGGCTCGCATGCGAGTCATTCTACCGGTAGACCTGGCACATCGGCATCGTCCAATGAGACGATTCATCAACAGCGATTGTCTGAAGAGAAGTCCCGTTTCCTCAACGAGCTCCGTCAGACTCTAGTCAGTCTTCTGCTATCCGACTTGGGCACATTGGTCTTCTCTCGAGGCTCCGAGACCGATGACTGGTTCTCCTCGTTGGGCCAGGAATGCATCGACAGACGTGATTCCCTAGACCGACGCGCCCGTAGGTCTGCCAAGTCTGGCAAATTGTCACTGAGGCCTCGTGTCATTGAGAAGAAGAAGAGTTTTGGGAATCTGCGAGGTGCCGGCGAAACAGACAAAAACTCCGAGACCACGGAAACTGCTAGTGCTCCAGGAAACGACAGTTCTGCCACAAGCGACACCGTGTCCGCGCGAAGCAAGGCCAGCTCTAAGGAGTCAACTCCTGACTTTCCTTTCAAGAAGGCTTTTCAGCGCTTACTTCGCATGTTCAGTGTTCATCCCAACCCTCATGCCAAGTTGAACGCCCTATACGAGCTGCAGCAACTCATTGTAGCATCTTTGACGAGTGGCAAAAGGTCAAGGTTGGGCTGGAATCGACAAGAATTTGTGTCCGGCGCCGTCGATGACCCCACAGGTTCCAGCCGCGCGAATCCGTTGGAGGAGGCTATCGACAACGTCAGAGGCAGACGCTCGCATACCCTGTTGCAAGCACCCGCAACTTCGCCACCGGCTATTGGTCCCCGCCAAACGCGTCAGGGTAACAATGACGCTCGCTCTGGCGTCACAAGCAACCCAACAACAACTGATGCTGTCACCAACGTCTTGCGAACCCTATTCCGAGACGCGTCTATTCGGCCAAAGACACTTTTCCGCGATCTTCAGTTCATTGCGGCATTCGTGAACCCGACAATTCTTGACAGCACAGAGAAGGGCACGGCGTTTTGGAACACTGGCCTCGCCGCCTTGAATCTGAAGCAAGAGGTCTGCCGAACCATGATTGAAGTGGCGGATGAGGTCCAAGGGGTGTATACGAGTACACGCAAGACGACCAATGATGCGCCCGCTCCAGACGCTGATCGACTGGAAACAGAATCACCCCCTCCTGTCACGACAGCCTATAGCTTGGCACAAGCAGGCAAGATGTGGACCATCACCGCCAAAGAGGGTCTGCCCACGGCCCAGCGAGAGCTCGCAATTTTCTACCTGTCGAACCCAGAGCTTGTGGAGCGGACCACCCTGCCCCTCTCGAAGCCACGCGAGGTATTCAAGCAGGCTGTCATGGACAAGTATGCTGGCCCTTCGGCACGCACAGGTCCAGGTGCCAGACTCTACCCTGGAGACAGAAGTCGCACATCGGCAGGCACATCAGGCCTCGGTGGCTCTGCTGGCTCCCAACATCCCGGCCAAGATCCGAGCTCCAAAGACGGGGATGTCCGCAGTGATCCCGCGTTGATGTGCGTGGCAGTCCATTTCTTCCAGGCGGCTGAACAGGGCGGCGATGAGCTTGCCACGTCTTTCCTCCGACAGAATGAGTTTAATGCCATGAGTTGAAACGCCGAGAGTGTGATTTGCACATTGCGATAATATTTCTTTTCATTCCGGACGCCGGGGGCGCCCTTTTCAATATTTATTTTCTTGATATTTTTCCATCTCACGAGTACGACGCGGGCATATCCAGTGGGCATTTACATGGGCTTCATTTCATCACATCGGGAAGCTACGGGATCTTTTTTTTGGTTTTCCCCCCCTTTTAGATGGCTACAGTAGAAAGGGAGGGACATTATGGTAGCGGGCACTCGGCCTTTTATGGAGGATATACCACTTTTCTACATACGATTATGACTTGGGTATGAAGTACAGGCTTGGGCCAATCTAGATGACGTTTATTTGCAATCATACCCCGTGTAGGTTGCCGATGTGCAAATGTGTCAAACTCTTGTGTTTATCTTGGCCTTTTTTGAGTCCGACATCGACCAAGGTTATTCATTGCGTGCATCATTCTTTACGAAATCAACCGCGTTTGGTACTCTACAAACTTTCACGAGATTGATTCCACGTACGTGACGGATAGTCAATGTAAACATCAAGATGATTGAAACCATAATGTATTCGCATTGAGCCTTATTCGAGGCCTCAATCAGCATGCGTACTGCGTAAGACAGTCCGGCCCCATTGGCCTAGGTCGATGCCCCGAAGCTAGATGGCCTCCTCTCTTATCCCCTCCGACGAGCAAGCTTCAAAATAGCATCCTCATGTATAGACGGCCCTCCCTACCTGTGAGTTTGGGTGTTATAAAAATCAAATAGTGTCTCGAAGGACCCCAAACGCCGACCCCGATTTTTCAAGTGCTCATGTCCACATCAACCATGTCCCACAAGTAATGTGTGTTGGACCAAGCAGAGCTTTTAGATAACCGACCCAGATTCATGAACGTATGCATGCCTGCCTCTACTGAGAGGACAAAAACTTTGGAAAAAGATTTACTGGCCTCTGCCAAAGCGAATGTCAAAGTCCTTGAGCACGCTCATGATACTCGCCGCCTCGACCTCGATGGGCAAACGGGAGGGGGACGGCAGCGTCTGGCCCGGCTTGGGTGCGGCGCGAAGCTTGGGAAGCCAGGAGCCAATGTCGTCGGCGGCCTTTTCAAAGTTTCGATGGCTGGAGAGGGTCTGATAGGCTTCGGCACAGCTCAGGCTGAGCCCGAGACGTCCCTTTGAGGGGAGACGGGGTGGCGGCGGCGCCGACTCGGACTTGCAGCATCCGCCTCCAGCACCGGCACCGCCGCAGCAGCCGCCTCCGGAGCCGCTTCCTCCGCTACGCTCGAAGTTAGCGGACAGGGCGCGGCAGAAGAGACCCGACTTGGGGTCGGCAAGGCACTGGGCGCAGGATCCGGGGCCTTTGGGACCGCAGCCGCGTGAGACGGGCTGATTGGTCTGAGGACGGGGACGGAGCTTGACGGCGCCGTCGGCATCGATCTCCATTGGCATGGGAGGAGGGACGGCATCGTTCTCTGAGGGAGGGGGAGTTTGAACCTGCTGGGAATAGGCAGGAGGAGGCCCGTAAGGGGTAGTGGCGGGTGGGCCGAGAATTGCGGTGTCGGCGCAGAGGCAGTAGCTTCCATCCTTACAAAACCCACACGAGTCCCTGAAGGCCACGGGAGGGAGCTGGGGCTGGGGCTGTACGATGGCAAGGTTCGCCTGCTGCTGCTGCTGCTGCTGCACCTGCGGCACGGTTGCCTTCTTGGAGAACATGGCGGTGAAGTCAATCTCCGTCTCCTCCTCAGGTGGAGTGGGCTCGACGCGGGCACGCTTCTCGGAGGACGTCTGCGCCGAGGGCGAGGGGGCTCTCTTCAGGTCCGAGATGATGGCGCTTTTGATAGTCTCCTCAAGGCACTGGCATCGACCTCCAAGAGTGCACCCGCCACATCCTGTGACGGTGTCGGCAAGAATTTCGTTGGCACAGGAGCATCCTTCAGGGCCGCATGACCCGCATCCAAACGGGGCAGGAGAGTCTTCCATGTGGGTTGAGTCTTGGGGGGAGACAATCTGTGAGATGGAAAAGGGCTGGTTTGAGTGGCCAGCCGATGGGGTGGGGGATGTTCATGGTGAGCGATTTGGGAACCTCGGCGTTGAGGAGACGGCAAGCGTCTGGGGGCGGCGGCCTGCTGCTCGTTCCAACGTCTCTTCTGGCTTTCGAGTTCAGACTCGGCTTTGACACGATCCTTTCTCTCGCGATCCAGCATGTTTTCGAGAACAAGACAGCGGGACTTGAAGGATTGCAGCTCCATCTCTAGGCCATGGACCTTGTCCTTGAGGTCTTTTTCGACCTTTTCGTGACCTTCGCGGATCTCGTCGAGCTGCTCCTCCAGCTCGCCAACTCTGGCGGCCCTACGCTCGCGGAATGCCCTCTGAGCAGCACGGTTCTGAGCCTTGCGCTTGGTGGGTGGCGTATCGGTGGCAGGCTTGCGGCCGGGCTTGGGCCTGGGAGGGATGACCCATTCTTTGGTGGTCATGGACATCTTGGGCGCCTCGGTGACGGGCGGGGGACTGATTACGGAGGCCATGGACATTTTGTTCACGACCTGAGGCGGTCTGGCTGAGATGGGCTGTTGAGCTGCGTTCGGTCTGATGGCAGGTAGTTGATGCGGGGCGTGGGAGGCATTTGTCGGTCCGCTCGGATTTGGTGTGGGAGGACCGCCGGGTGTGCTCGCGGCAGGCGAAGCGGCGGAAAGGGGGGTCGAGACAACCGAGTTGGAGCGAGATGCGGCCGAGTAAACGCTTCGAGCGTCGGTTGCGAGAGGTGAGGTGACGGGCGAAAAGGTCGACGACGAGTGTTGCTGCTGCAACGTCTGGTTGTTGTGGGAGGAGGAGGAAGAGTTGATGGTGGTGGTGGTGGTGGATGAGGAGGGAACAGTGGTAGAAACACCTGAGGCGGCCATCTTGGTGGATCGGAAGGGACGACCTAACGAGCAGCAGTGTTCCGCAGGCGGGGTCCGCTAAGGCCGCTCATTCGCTGGCGGGTGGTGGGATATCGCCGCTGACAGCTGGTGACCGGGTGGCGGGGTGTGGGTTGAAGATGTTCTTGCCAGCTGGTAAATCCGAGGGTGCGGTTCGGCGCTCTCTCGGCTCTTGAGATCTGATAAGGAAATGGGACGAATTGATGGTTGTAAGACCGAGAGGAGCTGAATGGTGTTGGGCCTTCTTCTTTTGTTTTGTCTTCTTCTTCTCGTTCGCCTTTTGTTTGTGATACTTGCTTGATTGACTGATTGACCTGTTCGGAGAGCAATCGGTGCTGTACGAGTTGTTATGATGCTACTGTTTGGCGATCTGGGCTGATGCCGAGCAGAATCGAGCAGATACCCCTACAGCGAAATGCACAGCTGATAGGTCTGTATGTGTGTCTGTACGGAGTAGTCTGATGCAGACAGACGTGGTGGTGCGCGCGTGTTGCCGAGTGGGTGACAGACACTGTTCCGGAAGATAATGTCGGCAGCGAGGTCGGATAGCTGACTCTGTTGTAAGTAGGAAGCTTGTGTAAGTGATTTTGACGATTGAAGCCAGGTGATCAGTATGTGTAAGTGTGAGAGAGTCAATGTTGATGAGGTGAAGAAATCTTTGGATTGCGGGCTTGTTCCTCTTTCTTCCGACACTTCGGAGGATGGTGGGGAGGAAGGAGGGGACTGGAGGGACAGCGCGGAACTGGAACAGTGGAGGGGGGAAAGGGCCCAAGGGGAAGGGCGAAGGGGGGGAGGGCGACATTCAAAAAGGAATTTTTTGATCTGATTGATAAGATTATCTTGCTCGCAAGGCCCCCACCAGGGCCTGCGCTAGTCTTTTTTTCTCTTTTTTTTTTTTTTCTCTCTTCTCTGTTTCCCACCTGGGCACTGCCTGCCAGAGGTACGTCGTCCTTTCACTCATCCGGTCATTACCCACTCATTTCACTCACTCACTCACTCACTCACTCACTCACCCACAGTCTCACTCCTCAGCCAGACTCACAGTACCTACATAGGGATTCTCACTCACTCGCTCGGAAAACGCCCCCGATATCCGCACAGTAAAAGCACTACTCTCACTCATAGTTTTACCTATTCACTCACTCTCTCTCAGCGTCTGGCACACACACACACACACACAACAGGCCACACTGGGTGGAATCGTTCGATGGCTCCTGTGGCTTTCCGGCTTCCAGCTCCATTCCGACCCTGCGATCTCGGACCTTGTTTCTTGGGCTTGGCTGGCCACAACACACTATGGATGTCACTATGTAGGGACTTTCAGGGCTACACAGCCCGGCTTCTCCCACGGATCACCGCCCTGATTGACCGCGCGATCCACCGTCAATGGGCTTTGATCCCCTTATGGCTGAGTTTCCATGTCGTAACACCCATCCATGCCAGCCTCTCACTCTCTTCCGTCAAACTTGAGTCCTTGACTCTGGGCCTCTTTACTCTGCGTGGAGGTCAACGATGCCAAGCGTAGCCACATCCCGAGGGAATTGATGGCAGGGTCTGCCGATGTCGCTGCCCTTGCCCACCGGGCGAGTGCATGATGTGCGTGACCAGTGATGACCGTGGGATAAAGTTGCATCTACCACCACGATGTAAAGAGGCTTGTCACTCCATCAACAAATAAGAGCGGCCCTTTGTCCGATGACTCCCTCGTAAGCCGAGACGTCCGTGGCCCTACTCTAAATCTACCTTACAGTACAAGTAAGGCATGAGTAAACAACCGTAAAGACAGGAACCCAGCGGGGTGAATCAATTTGACACAAAGTTTGATGAGGCTTTTCGGCAATGTCTACGGAGTTCAAGGTGTAGGCCAACGAGTCAGGCTCGCCGAGGTCTTACTATGACTTGCACAATTCGGTCGCATAAAATAAACACAATCAATGGCACAGCAAGATCTGTATCCATCCAGTTACTTGAGCCGAAAAAAGGGTACCTGATAATCGGGGATTTATGCCTCAATGGAACCTGCTTCAGGTGTCACCGCCAGTCGTCCAATGGCCTTGGAGCAGTTCATCAGGGAGATCAGGAGGTACTTGATAAGATGTCACCACCCTCCATCGCCTCCAGTTCCAATCCGTATTACGGTATTAAGGTACCCTAGAATCTACGGTTCAACCGACCGAGCGTGCATCCTTCATCCCACTCACACCTCGTGTCACTCGCCCGTCATTGGGCCATTTGATCTTTCACCCCCCGAGCCCCTAGCCGCCGCTTCCTTTCTGCAGGCTCACATGAGACGCTCAATTTTTTTTTCCCAGTCTACTTTGAAGCTTAGAGGAATCGCTTGAAACGTCTGCTTTCGGGATCGTCTCCAGTCACCCAGTCTCCAGTGCTGGATGGATACTATTGACGAGCCAACCACCCGTGACCCAACACTTCCCACTTCGTGACTGTGCGTAATCAGATCGGCCCTTCATCCCACATAAGCTGATCCCAAGTGGAGGGCCCGGAAGTGGATGATGGGAGAGTGGGAGCCACGCGAGAAAGGAGGGCAAAATTTACGTACATCGTGGAGTGCTTCTCAACTAGACAGGTACTACGATGCTACCTTATTGGAGTCTGCATCCATCCCATTGTTGCGTATTGCTACCGCGGTACCTCGCATCTCACGAGGTTTTGACGGCGGCAATTGTCGGCTCGCACTAATTACACGAACTGTATTTGCCTGACAGGCTGGCCCAAGGATGGCATGGCGGCTCCGAGAACGCTTTGGCTTCACAAGGGATCCCCTTCTTGCAAGGCAACGCCAAGCGCAGCCGGGCACCTCGGCCTCCGTTTGGTTTGTCGGACATCTTCGAAGTGCGGTTTTGGCCGGCTCTTCACAATAGAAAACGCCATTTAACGTAGCCGCTTACCTGAGGTGACCGCCTCTTATATTCTGCCCAAGGTATTGCCTCGAAGTGGTGAACAGTAAGTGCGCCTTGAATGATGACTTTACCGTCTTCTCGCCAATGACCGCATCAGAGATGGCGATGTGCGGTCATCGTCGTAAGAGCCGAGCAGATTGATCGCCGCATCGTCACTGCCAGAGACACAACAGGGTTTAGATTTATCCAATCCCAGCACCAACTCCAACTCTGAACCAACCCTCCTTTGTGACCCTCTGTCTCTCACTCAAAATCCTCGTTTACAACTGGTCAAAGACTTAAAAATGACCACTTGGGTTGTTTGAAGGTTGCGCAACCGTGTCCACATGCAGTGAGAATTGTGGGAATCCCGGCGGGGGCTACCTACCTTACGTAGTACTGTGTACTTCACTATGTGTGGCCCTCGGGCGCACTGTTCTACCTCTCCAATTCCCACAGTGATCCCCGCGCAACCCAAGCTGTGGACCCTATGAGGAAGCTACGTTAAGCTATCCGTATCTATCCAACTCCATCCCGCCCAAAATCGACCAACAGCTGCAATTCGAACCACCCACCTCTCAACCGCAAAGCTCCCCAACAATTCCCGATCCCGGTTCCCTAGCCTCGAGATAGCTCCCTTGCCTAAATTTGACGTCGCCTTTGCTCCGAGCTACAATATCTTTGCGCCGAACCTCAACCACCGAGCAGCCGCAGTCGCCGCCGCCGCCGCCGCACCGCCTCTGAAAGGCTCAAAGCACAACATCCACCCTAACCCCCAAAGCAACGGGCCAACGGGCAAAACCAAACAAGGCCATGGCCAATCTCGGCATCCAATCGCCAACGCGGCAAACCGCCGCCTTCCACCTCCCCTCCTCTTCCTCCTCCTCCGTCGCCTCCGGCTCCGGCTACGAAGACGACGACGCCCCGCTCCCTTTCCCCGCCGCCCTGCCCCGATCCGACTTCCTCGCCCCCGGCTTCCACCCGGCAAACTACCTCTCCGCCCTCCCGCACCGGCACCAGACCCTCGACGACCTCAAAGCCGAGCTCCGCGACCGCAGCGCCGCCATCAGCGCCGAGCTGCTGGAGCTCGTCAACGGGAACTACACCGCCTTCTTGTCTCTGGGCAACGAGCTGCGCGGCGGCGATGAGAGGGTTGAGAATGTGCGTGTCGCCATGCTCGGGTTTCGGAGGGCCGTGGAGGAGATCAAGGGCAAAGTGAGGACGCGCGGGGAGGAGGTCCAGGGGTTGAGCGGGGAGTTGAGGGAGGTGAGGAGGGGGATTGAGGCCGGGAGGAAGATGCTTGAGTTGGATGAGCGGGTATCTTCGCTCGAGGAGCGGCTTGCGCTTGCGAGCTTGCCGGGGAAGGGGAAGACGGGTACCGGCGAGGGAGAGGAAGATGACGATGACTGGGACGCGGATGACAGCGAGGAGTCTGACGAGGAAGAGGATGATGACGATGTAGCCGGGCTGGTGGGTAGCAGCCCTGCGAAGCTGGCGGGGTTTGCGCAAGATTTCTGCATTGTTGAAGCTCTTGCGGATGCTATTGGGAGGGATGCCCCGTTCGTGGTCAAGGCTGAGGCTCGGATGGTGAGATGTCGGAACACGATCCTCCTCGACCTGGGCACGGCGATGAAGGAAGCACGCAAGGCGGGCAAGAAGGGCCAGGCGAGGACGGTCAAGTATCTGGGCTTGTACGGATTGCTTGACGCCCAGGCTGAGGCGATCAGGGCCCTCAAGAGCAGCTGAGCAGGATTGCAGCAGCACACGACAAACAGAACAAAAAGGCCAGCAGTCACAGAGTAGCGATGCATATGATACCCAAATCAAAAATCTCCAAACATGTTCTAGAGCGCTATGCCACTTTGATACACGTGTAATAAAAACACCTATGATACAATTCATCTAAACACCCTTCCCTTTTCTTTTGCCCCTTTTTCATCTGGATTTTGTACATCTTTACATGACGTTGGACAGGTGAGCCGGCGTGACCTCCTCATCTGTCGAGTCAAAGTTTCCGTTCAAGCTGAAGCCCGGAGCCTGGGAAGAGCTCAGCACAACCTCGTGAACCTCCTTGTGCGTCTCGAGCTCCGCGAGATCAGACTTGATGCTGGCCACAAACGCCTTGACGTTGGCAGACAACATCTTGGGCGTGAAACCCAGCTGCCCGATAGCCATGCGGATGACACCAGTACGCTCGCGGTAGTTGTCGGCGCCCATCGTCTCACGGATGGCGCTGGAAATGTTGTCGGTGATTGTCTTCATGCGGCGGTTGGGCATGAGACCCTTGGGACCGAGGATGCGGCCCAGGGCGGCCTTGTTGAGCGCCGCCTCGCTGTCGGTGTGGCAGATGAGCCGGTTGAAGACAATGTTGTCGTTCTTGATGGCCTCGAACACGGACTCCTGGCCCGCGACGACGGCGCCGGCTTGCAGGGCCTGCTGCGCGATGGGGCTTCCTTCGGGGCAGATGACGCCGACGCGAATGTCGGATTTGACAGGGTTGGGGAGACGAATGCGGTTCTTTACGACGGCGCCGTTTCGGGGCGTCTTGAGGTGGACGTGGATCTCGTACTTGATGGACTGGGGAGGGCGGCCGACTTCGAATGCGCGGAGGTAGCTATGTTGAGGTCAGTTGGGGGATGAACTCATTATTCTCGTGTAGGATATATACACACCGCATGGCATCGCAAAGAGAGAATTGCGGGCAGTTCTTGACGTTGTAGGTCTTGAAGTCCTTGGAGAGCTTCTTCTTCTTCTTGTCCGTCTTCTTGTTACTCCCCTGGTTGCTCGCGCATCGTGTCTGCTGGGCGACGGAAGGGATGAGGAACCGCGGTATCGTGGAGGCTGTCGGTCTTGCTGAAGCTACGAGGCTGAGACGGGCCATTGAGGCCATGCACTGGTTCGTTGACGCCATCACGGGGCTTTGGGTATATGTGATCTTTTTTCTTGGAGTTGCAACGCCAGCTGACCTCGGATCGTGTCGCGTGAAGCCCTGGCCAAAGACTGCAGAAAAATTGGTATGGCCTCACAGATCAGGCAAGAGGTCATTATCTTATCGGTCATCTTATCGAGCTGTGGTGCCCGTTCACACCTCCCGTCACCTCTAAAAAGGTACGTATCTACGACCGGTCCGGTCCCGGTGTGAAGGTACGTACACTCTGCCTCGAAACACACCACTGTCACCAGAGCTTTACCTTGGACACAAAGAGTCATAATTAGTTGTCATCGGGTGAAAAGTTTTTTCAAGAAAAACTTGGATACATAGACACATAAGGTATCGTTTTTCTCAATGTAGTCTTACCAAGTGCATCAGTTGTTTCGTGCCTACGGGAGAGAGAGAAAGAGCCTTCCAAGTTCATCAAATACCTTGCACCACAGCGACTTACAGAGAAGCTCCTCGCTGTGCCACCAATCAGACCGTCCCGGCCGAGTGCTCTCGGTGAGTGCGCCGTCATGTTACCCCTCCATGATTTTTAACCCCACCACGAAATATCAGCCACTCCAAACATTTGACTCACGAGACACCAGGACCGTCCTGACCACCGATCCCCTCCGATAGTCTCATCGCCTCAATTGGACCAAACACCGTCATCATGAAGGCCGAGGAGCTCCAGACCCTCCCCACCGCCCTGGCCGGCGACTTCAAGTCGATCGAGCCTCACCTCCGCGCCCTCGACAAGCACCTGACGCTGCGCACCTTTGTCGAGGGGTACTCGCTGGGCGAGACCGAGACCAAGATCTGGCAGACCCTGAAGCTGAACAAGGTCGCCATGGGCTTCATTCGCAAGGGAACTATGGCCAACCTTACTCGTTGGTGCGTCTATCGCGTCCCTGGCTTCAGTCACTATCCGTCCGACGCTAACCCGCATTGTCAGGTTCACCTTTGTCGAGGTCACCTACCCCGAGATCCAGGCCGAGACGAACGCTGTTGATGCCGAGCGCAAGGCCAAGGTCGTTGCCGCTAGCAAGAAGGGTGCAAGCTACTCTCTGGCTCTCCAGAACGCCGAGGCCGGAGTTGTCACCAGATTCCTTCCCGAGCCTTCGTTGGTCTCCCCCCTAAATACCACTTGCTAGACAGCCTCCTAACCATGTAACAGAGGATACCTTCACATCGGTCACGCCAAGGCCGCCCTTCTCAGCGACTACTTCGCCCACGAGGCCTACAAGGGCAAGCTTCTGCTGCGTCTTGACGACACCAACCCCGCCAAGGAGAGTGAGGAGTTCCAGGATGCCATCGTTGAGGACTTGAAGATGATGGGTATCACCCCCGACTCCCTTTCCTACACCTCCGACTACTTCGACTACCTGTACGAGACTTGCGTTCGCCTCATCAAGGAGGGTCACGCCTACGCCGACGACACCGAGCAGGAGACGATGCGTAACGAGCGAACCGACGGAATCGAGTCCAAGTGCCGCAACCGCTCCGTCGAGGAGAACCTGCGCATCTTCGAGGCCATGAAGGAGGGTACCCCCGAGGGTCTGAACAACTGCATCCGTGCCAAGATCTCCGTCGACAACGTCAACAAGGCCCTGAGAGATCCCGTCATCTACCGCTGCAACGTCGAGAACAAGCACCACCGTACCGGTGACAAGTGGAAGATCTACCCCATGTACGATCTCGCCTGCCCCGTTGTCGACTCTCACGAGGGCGTCACCCACGCTCTGAGATCGACCGAGTACACTGACCGCAACCCCCTTTACCAATGGTTTATCGACACCCTGAAGCTGCGCCAGGTCTACATGCACGACTTCAGCCGTATCAACCTCGTCCGCACCTTCCTGTCTAAGAGAAAGCTCGCCAAGATCGTCGCTCAGGGCACCGTCTGGGGCTGGGACGACCCCCGTATGCCCACCATCCGTGGTGTGCGCAGACGCGGTATGACCATCCCCGCCCTCCGCGAGTTCATCATCAAGCAGGGCCCCAGCCGAAACGTCGTCAACATGGACTGGGCGTCGTTCTGGAACATCAACAAGAAGGTCATTGACCCCATCGCTCCCCGCCACACTGCTATCCTGGAGAAGGACGCCGTCAAGGTCAAGGTCACCGGTGCCGACGCACCCGCCACTCCCCGCACCGAGGACAAGCCCAAGCACCCCAAGAACCCCGACGTCGGCACCAAGAAGGTCGTCTTCTCCAACGAGCTCATCCTCGACCAGGCCGATGTCAAGAGCTTCAAGAAGGACGAGGAGTTCACCCTCATGGGCTGGGGCAACGCTTTTGCCCGCGAGATCGGCGCCACCGACCCCATCACCGACCTCAGCGTCGAGCTCAACCTCAAGGGCGACTTCAAGACGACCGAGAAGAAGGTCACGTGGCTTTCGACGGCCGGCACCAAGCTCGTCAAGGCCGAGCTCTGGGACTTTGACTACCTCATCAACAAGGACAAGCTCGAGGAGGACGACGTGCTCGAGAAGGTGCTCAACCCCAACACGTCGACCATGGAGACGGCGTTGTGTGATGCTGGCGTTGGTGAGCTGAAGAAGGATGACATTATCCAGCTCGAGAGACGGGGCTTCTACCGTGTGGACAAGGGTCTGGATGAGGGTGACGTGGTTGTTCTGTTCAACATTCCCACTGGCAAGGCCAAATAAGTTATTTCGCTGTTTCATTTTGTAGGAAGATTCAGGCCATGAAAGACATGAAGAATTGAAGTATGAAGTAAAAGCTTGATCTGTCCACTTTGACTCTTGAAACACCGTGACCGTATCTGTACCAAAAATCGCAGAAGAGATACTCATGTGATGTATGTGATCATCTGGTGCTTGTTGTGTGTCGCTCGATAGCTTTATCATGCGAAGCAGAAATAAAAACAAGCAGAGTTACACGTTTCGCCGAGAAACGAATATCCTAAAAGGATCAAATGGAATTCGGGATTACAGGGCATGATGTTGAGCATAAGCTAGCTATAAGCCATACTTTATCAACTGTCCATTTCGTCGACAGGATAGCACAAGCGGGTACTCGAGTTGTATGGACGGACTATTTGTACCCGAAGAGTAAGAAATGCCCGTTGCGTGTCTGGATACCCTTGAGCAGTAAATGACGGGTATGGAGAGATAATCAGACCATTCGCCTTCATCAGCTCACTTTAACCCCAGACTTTTTCTCCCCACGATTGATGCGGCCTAGAACGGCCATCATTCTCACCCCACTGCTTCCCGCATGCCTCCTGCAAGGATCGCCAGTTGCGGGGTCTAATACTGACAGCTAGGTGGGTTGGGTTAAGCCGTTGGTGTGGCTATCCTTCGTGGCCCAACAGCTACTCCGATTCTCGTGCCTCGAAGCTGCCTGCGGACAAGCAGCTTTGTACCCTAGACTGAGAAGCCATTTGCTGAATGTATCGAACTCTACTGGGCCGACTCATTCATGTCTGGATTCACTCGGGGTGTACCGGCTTCAGGACACCGGTCCCGGTCCGGCAGTGGAATCCGCGCACCGAACTGCACATGTCTGGAAGCATGAGGCCTACCCAACCAAACGCCGCTTCACTTCGTACTTCCGTACAATAAGAAAGGTGCAGTCCTTCCACGCAGCCGGACCGGAAGCGTGGGGCGACATTTCCGGCCAAGATCGGGAGAAGCTCCCATCGTGCCACGAAGCGTACCTGATCTCGCCTCATCCTCACACCGACACTCTTGCATGAGATTCCACCAATCCTCCACCATTGTCGTGTGCCACTTTACATAGAAGCTATATACGTTACAATTTTTCTTGGGATTTGCAATTCTAGATATAGGGCCACTTCTTGATAGCCTTATCAGACCCCGAGTCACACACGTCTCTTGTTGGAATCTTGCATTATCTCCTGCAGCTAACGAGCTACCCTAGTCCACCCATTCATTACTTTTAGGTACTTTATCAAGGTCATTTCCGTCGCAGTCAACCAGAGCTTTTTGAGGGTGAGATCCTTTCTTCACCAACTCTAGAAATATATACCCAAAGCTTCAGTTAAAATGGCCGAACCCAATAATACACCCTACCCCCCAGCAACACCACAATCTCAAACCCCTCTCTCCGCATCGCCTGTCCTCCGTCCCCATCCTGGCGGTCAAGTAGAACCCATAACGGCAGCATCGCGAGCATCAGCAACAATAACAAACGGCACGCATAAGCGCCGCGTCCTACACATCGGCGACCCGATCAAGTACAACCCAGAAACCTACGCCGCCTTCTCCGCGCAATGCGACATCATCCGCCCCTCGACGCCCGAACGCCAGCGCCCCGCATTCGCCGCCGCCCTGCGGGACGGCAAGTGGGGCGACTTCTCTGCCGTCTTCCGCCCGTTCTGGGGCACGGGCGGCGAGATGGGCACGTGGGACGCCGAGCTGGTTCCGCTGCTGCCGGCGAGCTGTCGGGTGTTTGCGAGCGCGGGCGCCGGGTTCGATTGGGCTGATACGCAGCTTCTCGGTGAACGAGGTGAGCCTTCCCTTCCTCTCAGATCGCTCTATGTTGAGTGAAACATATCAAACATGATTTGGGAAATACTAACACAAAAAAGGCATCATCTATTGCAACTCAGGCCTTGCCGCCGCTGAAGCAGTAGCAGACTTTGCCGTCGCCCTCGTTATCTCAACCTTCCGTCACCTTCCCTGGTGCACGGCATCCGTCTCGGATCCGTCCGCCTTCCAAGACTGCCATGCCCGCGCCACGGCCGCTTCGCACACCCTCCGCGGACACGTCCTCGGCCTTGTGGGCATGGGAAATATCGGCCAGCAGATCGCGCAGCGCCTCGGCGTCGGTTTCGGTATGGCAGTTCACTATTTCGACGTCGTCCGCAAAGACCCCGTCGCGGTGGAGGCCAAGTTTGGCGCGACGTTTCACGAGACGATGGAGAGCTTGCTGCGTGTCTCGGACTGCGTTGTGCTGTGCACACCTGCTGGTGGTAAGGTCATTACTGCCGAGTCGTTAGCTTGGTTCAAGCCTGGGTCGAGGTTTGTAAACATTGCGAGGGGGAGTTTGGTTGACGAGGAGGCTCTGGCCGATGCGTTGGAGTCTGGGCAGATTGGGACTGTTGCGTTGGATGTGCATGCTGACGAGCCGAGGCCGCATCCACGGTTGCTCAAGATGGCGGAGACGAAGGCTATGTTGACGTGTCACAATGCTGGTGGGACGGTTGAGACGCACAAGGGGTTCGAGGAGTTGAGTATGAGGAATATCATGGTGGTGTTGGGGGGAGGGCAACCGATTACGCCTGTTAACCTGCATTACTTGAAGCAGTGATGGGGGAAGTAGAATACGACTTTGGTCTGTCTTTCCTCGGAGTCAAATAAGCTGCATAGAGGGTTTCACCTTTGCAGGAGAAAGAAGCTATTGATTGAACTCGAATGATGATACCTACGATTTAGCACCTGCAAAATTATTGCCGACTTATATGACGGCTGAAGCAATCATGATCATATCGCGGACTTTGAATTTAGAGGAGAATCAAAAAATATCGAAGGATAGTCGCCGAAAGAGTTTTGTTCACATATTCGGAAAACGCGAAGAAGGACCTCGCATATGCGCTAGATAGGCGTTATCGTGGAAAGACATTGATCTCAAGTATCCTGTTCAACTTGATTAGACCATGATCCCGGTTGTTCAGCTCGCTCAGCCACCTATACTAGCTTCCTCAGCCCATTGAGGCTGCCTTGCGTGTCTGCCTGGAGATGGTGAGCAAAAGGCTATCTTTCAGGCTTCGAAAGGGGCCCTGTCCCATGCCCTGAACACATGGCTCGTAGAAAGGTACATCAAACTTGTTCAGTGGGAAGGACACGAAGAATCTTGCAACGTATAATGGAAACCATTCTAAGGGATAGTGAGCGCAGCAGTGTGCAAAGCAATCCAACTGATTGGAGCGCAAAGCTGTTCAACCCGAAAACCCATATTCGCCTGCTCCAATCCTCCCAGGTCGACAGACAGAGGAACTGCGTTGTACCTGCAGCACTATCAGACTTGATGACAGGCCGAGGTACAATGCCCTTTCCTATGTCTGGGGAAACCGCGAGGCAAAGGCTCAAGTAACTGTGAACGGCGTTCAAGTTACGATCAACAAGAGTCTGGGAGGAGCTTTGAAGCGTATCCGCCATGAACGGGAACCGGTCGTTATATTGGGCAGATGCTCTTTGCATCAACCAGGATGATGAAGATGAGAAAAAGTACCAAATCGATCTCATGCATCGCATCTATGGCGAGTGCGAGAACTGTCTGATCTGGACGGGAGATATAGTAGTGAAGGGAGATGGCAGCGTCGCAGCAGAACTGGCTGCAAGAGCGGCCTTGAATGCTGTGCGCATTATTGCAGGGCAGCCACACGATGAAGAACTCGGTTGGCTAGGCCAATATTCAGTTGCTACAAGCTTTGTTGGAAATGGTCTCACCGCCGGGGCAGCCTTACAGTCGATGATGGACTGCGAATGGTGGCAGCGTATCTGGACAGTCCAGGAGGTCTGTCTGCCCCCGAAAGCCACGGTTCTCTGGGGACCACTCGAGATCAGCTTCCAAACAATCATGAACGCAGCGAGCTACATGGTGCAACCAGATGAGCACCCGCAACGCAATAACATTTTCGATCTTTTCCAAGAGGGCACTGCCACTTACCCAAGGCTTCATACAAGTCCGTACACCATACCCGTCCTCAGCATCGCTCACGCCAGACTCTGGAATCAATCCGGGACCGAATCCCTGTATAGACTGTGGCGGTTTCGAGACAGGAGGTCCACATATCCGAAAGACAAGCTGTTTGGCATCTGGGCGCTTCTCAACAAGACATGCTTGCCTGATATCAAGCCAAAGGATTACGTCCTCGATATTGTGGTCTTATTCTCCAGACTCATGGTCAGTTTACTGAAATCTCTTGACAGCCTTAAGCCTCTTATCGGCTGGAGAGGAGAAAGAGAGGCGGCCGGTCTGCCTGCTTGGGTCCTGGACTTGGCTCAGCCAGAGGACTCTAAGTGCACCAGCGACTTCTGGACACCCGATATTGCTTGGAGCCAATTTCATGCCAGCAGTGGTCTACCACGTTTCGAGCCACCAGTCAACCAAGCAGATGATCTCATATTGCTCACTCTAAGTGGCATTCGCGTTGACAAGGTGGCTACAGTCTTGATGGACTTGAGGCACATGCGAAAGTCCCTTTGGAGACAAGGATTTGAAGACGCTCTCGCAAACCATGCCTGTAAAGAGGATATCATATACTAATATAACAACCTCATCCAGGGTAAATTCGGTGAGAACCATGAGCGCGTCACGGACGAGTCTTGGAACGGTGGTCCGTGGTGGGAGGACAGGATGCTCTCTTACCAAGTTCTTTTCATCACGCAGGAGAATCGGCTTGGCCTTGGTCCGCCTAATCTGAAGCTAGGAGACAATGTCTGGGTTCTTTCGGGAGGGAACCATCCCCTATTGCTTCGTCCCGCAAGAGAGAGAAGTCGAGATACCGATTTGTGGGAGTTCGTTGGAGATTGCTTCATTTACGGCATCATGTACGGAGAGGCGTCTTCTAATGGGTTTCAATTGTCATCCGTAACCTTGTGTTGACTTTGTTATGATGGTAGTCTCACCATCGGTGATTGCTGTATCATGTGACTTCAATCCTAACTTTAAGACATAGCAGTGAAAATGATAACAAGAGCTCGCAATGCAACTCTACCAGATGTCAAGGCAAACGATTTGATGTGAACGCTGCGCCATACAATAGGCGCCTCTGCGTTCCATCTTCTAGACACTGTATGTATTTTGAGCGATCACCTGTCAACGTCTTCTCAAAGATCCACGGGCGACTGAGATCGCGGTGTTATCGGTTGATATGAAAACTTCTCTAGAGAATCGAGTAACTTGATATCGACAATCATCGATGATATTTATGTGAGAATCGACGAGTTTTTGGTGAGGCGCATCTTACTCTTGAGAGACACCTCATTCAGTTTTAGTGCAGCAGAGGCGTAGACAGATGACTGAGAATGAGGGGCAGCAGGCGGCACGTGCGCCAATGTTGTCACGAGCCTCAGCTGAAAGTGCGCTGAGCTGAGCTGAGCGCAGCCGACGATGAAAGTTGGAATGAACATGTCATGAACCGTAAAGGAGACGGCATCATCTTGCGACCCTACGAACTTATTCATATCATACCGACTACCTGGCATCCTAGTCGGTGCTTTCGCAGATCATCATGGCCTCCTCAAAGCGCTGGCCAGCGCCCATTCACGTCTTCTCCTACCGCGCCCTGCTCGTGGTGCCCATCATCCTCGCCATCGCGACCTTCGCGTCGCTCTTCATCCACTCCGATGTCAACGTCGCCCTCCTCTACTCACAATGCGATGCCCGGGCTCGCTTGCCGGCCGTCAGCAAGGTTCCCGTTCTCGGCCCGCCCGTCTGCTTCGCCATAAGCTTCTTCCAGAGCGCGCTCGATTCCATGCGGACCTTCGCCAGCATGTCCGCCATCCTGTCCTTCATCGCCGGCCTCATGACCGTCACTACCATCGAGGCCGCACGCGTCTGTAACGCGCCCAATGTCGTGATTGCGAATCCCACTGGTCCCTGGCTAGTTTTCAACCTCATCGGTGGAGCTGTGGTCTGGCAACTCGTCATCCTACCCGCCTTCTTCCACCGCTCGCGATCCATCCTGCTTGCTCGGAAGAAGGCCGGACAGGAGGCCGTTGAGAGCGCCGCATCCAAGGATCCCGACTTTGGCAAGGACTCGCGCCATCTAGTTGTCGATGCGGAAATCATCGCCATCCCCGTCAGCGTCGCGTGGGGCTTCATTCTGCCCTCCCTCCTGATGCTCATCTACAACTCCCCGGTCATCATCGTCGTCTGGCTCTTCTTTCCTGTCTGGGTGTCATTGATCCGCCAAGCCGTCAGATGGGCCGTCTTGCGTGTGCAGAAGCGCCAGCACCGCAGCTTCCACCTCGAGTCTCACACGGTCTCGCTTCTGCTCGTCTACCTCATTCCCATCCTTTGCTCTGCAGTCTCTCACGTCTACTTCATCTGGAGCCTGTTCCAGTGGGACGACAGGAAGGAAATGACACGTGCTACTGTTAAATTTGTTGAGATTGACATGTTCTTCATCGGCTTGACTGTCCTGTATTGGCTCTTCGTTGAGACTGGCTGGAAGGTCCCCTTGGTCGCAGTTCTTGGCGCCATCCCACTCGGACCAGGTGCCGGTATTTGCATCGCATGGATATACCGAGATACCGAGATTCGTGAGAGTCTGAAGCAGTGGCTTTCTGATGTTGTTGGAACTCAAGAAGAGGCTAACGAAGAGGGTAGAGCTTCGGCTAGCGAGGAGACACCACTATTGCATTGATAGTGTGACGAGATAGCTGCAAGCAAATACAAGCTGACACTTGTCCATCGCCGCGGTGACAATTTTCCTTGCAATGCTTGCCCTCGCATCTGTTCTTATGCGTAGATAGCTTCGTTTCGAGAAGTCTTCCAATGCCGAAGAGTCCGCCTTGGCCAAGCATTTCGGCATCTTGATCTACATAGACACCTCGGAATCACTACTCAACGAAAGATATACAAGACGCAAGCCCCCTGACTCCTGATTGCCCCCGCTCGATCCTCAAGGAACGCCTTTCGTCCGGTTTATGGCCGTCGGTATCTTTGTCTTGGCCAACATTACAAGCACGATACCGTTGAGAAACATGGCACTACAGCCACTTTTCGAACTCTTCATACGCGAAACAGAATCCTGCGGGGGGAATCTCACAAGGTGCATGCTTCCTCTCCGCACGATACCCCGCGGGACCCCAGATCTGTCCCCGGATCCTCATTCAATGTTAATTGGCTAGTGTCGTATAGATACCATGTATAGATTTGTGTCTCGGTATCTGCCACCTCTATAAATATAGATCAGCCATCGTGAATGTGTGTCTTTGTTGACCGAGCTCATCAGCCCGCAATCGTGACAAAAGACGACTTCACAGAAATTCGCGTTGATATCTCAGAAACTCACCTTACTCACCATGGGTTTTGCTTCAGCAAAGGGGACGAACGACCCTCCTGAGGTCCGCAACTGGAGAATCCACTTCATTGCTCTTGTTGCGTCCATGGCGGCCTTGTCCAGTAAGCGAGGTCTTGGGAGAACCCAAATATCCTGTTCATTGCCCTCTCTAATGCAGCAGAAATCTGAAGTGGGCTATGATACGGCCGTCATAGGAGGCACAATGGCCCTTGACTCCTTTGTCCGCGACTTTGGCATCGACAAGATGACCACCCAAGAAAAGAACAACTCCCTAGCCAACATCGCTTCCATGTTTCAAGTCGGCGCCTTCTTCGGCGCCCTCCTCACCTTCCCCGTTGCCGAGAAGTACGGCCGCAAGAAGGCCATCATGATGGCGGCCCTTATCTTCTGCGTCGGCGGAGCAATGATGTCCGGAGCCAAGGGCGACCTCAAGCTCGTCATCGCCGGCCGCGCCATTGGCGGCCTCGGTATCGGCATGGCTACCATGACGGTTCCGGTCTATATCGCTGAGACGTCACCGCCGAGTATCCGCGGACGCCTCGTGGGAATTTTTGAGATCTTCTCTCAGGGCGGCGGGATGCTTGGGTTCTGGATCAACTACGGCACGAGCCGTACCATCGACGTTGAGAATGAGGCGCAATGGATCGTGCCGCTGGCCTTACAGCTCCTTCCGGCCATTCTTCTTTTCGTTGGCATCATGGTCTGTCCAGAATCCCCCCGTTGGCTGGCTCGAGGTGATAACTTCGAGGCCGCGGAAAAGGTTCTGGTATACGTGCGAAGACTCCCCGCCGATCATCCCTATATACAGAACGAGATGAGCGAAATAAGACAACAAGTTGAGGAGCGAAGTACCGTTCGACTCAGCAAGAAGCAACAGCTACAGAAACTCCTTGCTCCTGGCACGAGAAACCGTGTGGGCACCGGGACGTTTCTCATGTTTCTGCAAAGTTATACAGGTGTCAACATAATGACATACTATAGCGTTTCCGGTAATACATCTAAAGGAAAACCATCTGTCTCTGTCCCAGTAGCCAAGGCTGACACTCTAAACCAGTTTTCGAGACCCTTGGAATCACTGGAACCAGCAACAAGCTATTCAGCACCGGAATCTACGGGATAGCAAAGATGCTAGGCATGATTCTGTTCGCAGTATGGGTCATCGAGGGCCTCGGCCGTCGTAGCGGACTTCTATGGGGTGCTTTCATTGGCAGCATTCCCCTCTGGTACGTGGGCGGGTATGTCATGGTCGCTAATCCGACCGCCAAAGCAGCGAGCGGTGTCATTCAACAAGATGCGTGGGGGTATCTTGCCATGGTCTGCATTTACCTCAACGCCTTCATCATCTGTTCCACTATCCAGGGAATCACGTGGACATACGCGTCCGAGATCTTCCCCTTGGATATCAGGATGCTCTGTGTTGCGATGTCTACGGCGTGTACTTGGTTGGGCTCATTTGTTGTCGCGAGGGCCACTCCTTTCATGATCACCGACCTTGGGTACGGGACGTTCTTCATGTTCGGAGGATTCTTGATCTTTATCGGCGTTTGGTCATTCTTCTTCGTTCCGGAGACAAAAGGTCAGTTCTACTTATCGCCAAGAATGCCTCTACGCGCATGCCTTATGCTGACAATCTTACCATAGGTCGTTCGCTGGAGGATATGGACATTCTGTTTTCGCGGCCAACACACGTTGTCGTATGGGCACAACTCAGGGGAAGGCCGATTCTGTCCACAAATACTCCAATGTCGCCCAGAGGATCTATGGATAAAGGCGAAGTCAAGGTGGTTGACATGGCCTAGTGTGATTTCAACCATGGCATCTTTGGTATACAAGAAAAGTCTGTTGACATTGCCAACCAAAAGACGCTCTGTTTGTTACCACGAATGCGCTACGCGTAGACATAAGCAACTACTTCTCTTGTCAATTTGCGATTGACTTAGTTAATACGCGCATGGTTATAGGCCTTATCAAAATATCACTGTTCACGGAAAAGGCATGACAGTGAAATGAATGAGGTAACCAAATCTTGGTATTCGCCGACGCCTTCAAGACATAGTCACCAAAGTCTTTAGGTGTCTAGCCTACAAGATAGCCACTGCTGAAGGCGGACTAGCAATCCCGCCAGGAATATCCAAAGGTACACTGACCATCATGAAGGACCATCTCTGGAGTTCTTTGCACCTTGCAGCGAGCCTCTCCAAGTCAAAACTCTCTCCAATCGGCATGCCCCAACCGCTCAGGAACACCTCATGCATGCTGACGCCCCATGGTTTTGGGCTCGGCCAGGCCTCGTAAGCGACAGTATCCGAGGCCACCGCAGCAAACGCATGATCCCAGTGCCAGCGAATCGCCTCTTCGCTCGCTTCGACGCCACAACTTGCTCGAACTTCCCGTTGGGGTAACGCAAGCTGCTCAGCGACGGTGAGCGCACGGTAGGCCGGTAGCCAGCCTGTTCGGACTAGCAGGATGTCGCCTTGTTGGAACTCGGTTTTCTGAGCCTTTGCGACGTCCTGGAGTTGAGACAGGGGAATACCAAAGGTTGAAAAGGGGTCGAAGGTGATGTTTTTCTCGATTGCCCAGGAGTACCAGTCAAGGAGAACACCACGACCAGTGATGGACTTCCTTGCCATATCTAGTGAGCGAAACGTCAGGAAATAGCCTAAGAGACTGGGAAACAGGACCTGGGTGTTGTTCTTCTTACTTTGAATGCCGAGTTTAGTGTTATTATCGGGCCCTGAAATATCATCCTGAGTCACGCCGTTGTAATATTGGATATGCTGTTGGTAAGGATAATGTCGTGGCCCATCCCAATGCGTTGCGCCTTGCGTATTCATGGAGATCTGTTCCCGCAATTCGTTAGAGACTCCAGCATGACCGCGAGCCATGGCTCAGAAGACTAACCTCGTCGTCATTGGCGTTGCCTTTTGGAATGATACGGTGTTCGCACGGCTTTCGAACTGGGTTCATGGGCTGTATAAAGGCATCTAATGGAAGACTGTTGTAAAAGAGCTTGTTTAGCGCTGAAACTGAAGAGAGCTTTCACCTGGATTGTTACATGTACTTACTTGAGCGGTATTGTCTCGCCTATGATCACCTCACTTGTGGCATTCTTGACCAAGGCCGGGTTTAAAAGATTGAGAGCCCCGAGTTCATCTTCATCGCCCCATAATCCCCACGCCGATGCCTTCGGATCCCCCACGTGAAGCGGCAAAGAGTCAAAGCTCGGCCGGGTGCTTACTTCGGTTGAATTAAAGTTGCCCATGGCTGAATCAGCTGTTGAAGACAGTGAACTCCTCCGTGGTTCAAACATCATTGTATCTATTCCAAAGAAGCCTTTAATAATGTTCAAGACTGAACATGCTCATAGGTAGACCGAGATCACCGGCCGAGAGCCAGTTGGAGATCGGCTCGGGGAGACCCACAAGCCGTGACTAGGGGTGACGGCGATCTCGGCATGATCGGTATTCTTTCCGGCTGACACCAACCACCAAGTCTCACTCTAAGGTAATTCGGCATATTTTTAAATCCTTTCGGTTGCTCCGCAGATGCAACGTAGAGTCGTCTGCGCCTTCGGGCATCCTTCGTCACGTTGTTGCTTCAGGGAGTCATGGTGGCTGGCACGCTTACTAGTGTCCCACCGGCTTGTTAACCCCTCTTTATTGAAAGTGACTTCGATGTTGCATTATTAATGATATTAGTTAATAGTGGTACACCTGCTGTCCCTTTAGAAGCCATCGAGGTGGGATCCAGACGGCCACACTAGATTCGCGCCAGAGAACGACATGCCGGAATTGCCCAAGATGTGATCTGCAACTCCCCATGGGAACGCGTCCGGTTGGAAACCTGCCCCTGTGTTTGTCCCACCGTAACTTATATCGTCGTTCCAGCTAGCCCCCTCCGTGAAAAACGCATTATCATCCACCTCTGCATCAACAGCAGAAGAAAGCTGTGGAGCATTCTGTGCCGTTGGATATTTCCTACTTATAGTCCTGTGACGACCAGTGTTACCTCTTTGCACAATACCCATTTCTGTGTTTAGTGACCTTGTCTGACGCTGATCGAGTTGATTGGAGTTCTCTGAAGAATTCGAGACAACATTGTGTCTGCGATCTAAGTTGTTGCCAACATCTACAACTCGTGGCTGCCCGTTACTGAGTAGCCGTCGAATGGTGTCGAGACTTCTCCCGCTTCCCGGGGTGTGGGAAGCCTCCTGTTGAAGTATACGACATGCGGCTGCAAGCCTGGCTGCCGCACTCTCTCTCTCGGCACCGGTCGATGCTCTTTTCAACTCTTCCGCTTCCACTGTAGCAGCTGTATATATGCAGTAACTGACTTGATAT